ATCACATTTTTAAATAATGTTGTTTTGAAGTCCTAGTATAAGATTCTTGGTGACATGTTTTTAATCCACAAACATCCTATGTGTTTCAGGTAGATGCTGATATGAAGCTGATAGGAATGAGTGCAGAATGTGCTGTGACCTGAAAACAATTTTAACAGCATTAAAGTTATGCAGGGTTTAAGAAAATTAAAGAAAAACATCTCCAATTTTTTGTTCATCTTATTCAATATCAAGCAATTCATGATGTTCCTGTTACTTTCTGTTTAAAAACAATACTGTGGTAATTCCTTGTGATCACCACTTTACTAGTTCTTTATATTATATTACTGTTTTTAGGCATTATAAGACTCAGGATTCCAAGAAATGCCATTTCAGTTTGAAGTTATACATGGAGAACTAGACTACTTAGAAATGTACCTAATTATAGCAGACCAGGACTGCAAGATGCAGCTCTAAAATATGGGCATTCCCCTGTAGCAGTCTCATCCAACTTTCAAAGATGCAATCATTACTGAAAGAATAAGTTTCATTACAGCATTAGTATTAGAAAATACATACACGCTCATTTTCTATATCAATTACACTATACAATTGTGTCATTTTTACAATTCACTACAGAAAATAAACTAATTTCTCCCAAAAAGCATGAATAAGAGTAACATCATCAGATAAGAGACAAAGAGGGCTTTAAAATGGTTTATAAACTATATACCAGTCATGTCTCCTATTAAAACAGATCAATTTGACAAAAGTCATTAAAATTAGTCATCAAGACAGGTTTCACGTTGGCTGAAATGGGATTTGTGTCATTTTTAACATAACAAGCCAGTTCAGACAATTTACTAATTTCTCCCAAATAAAAGTAAGACCATCAGATAGGACACAAAAAGGGCTTTAAAATGGAGTATAAACTTTAAACCAGTCATGTTTCCTATTAAAATGGAACAAATTGAAAAAGTCATAAAATTAAGTCATCGCGACAGTTTTCACGGATATGGAAATGGGATTTTGTGTCATTTTTAACAAGCCAATTCAGAAAATTTACTAATTTCTCTCAAATAAGAGTAAGATCATCAGATAGGAGACAAAGATGACTTTAAAATGGTGTATAAACTTGCTACCAGTCATGTTGACTATTAAAATGGAACAAATTGAAAAAGTCAAAAATATAGTCGTAGCGACAGTTTTCACATAATGGAAATGGGATTTTGTGTCATTTTCACAAGCCAGTTCAGAAAATTTACTAATTTCTCTCAAATAAGAGTAAGATCATCAGATAGGAGACAAAGAAGCCTTTAAAATGGTGTATAAACTTGCTACCAGTCATGTTGACTATCCAAGCTGAACAAATCAACAAAGACTTAATTAATAGTACTTGTCTCGACAGTTGTCATGGAAATGGAAATGGCATTTTGTGTCAATTATAACAAGCCATTATAGAAAATATACTTCTTTCCCCCAAGTAACAGTCACATCATCAGATAGGGCACAATTAGGGCTTTAAAATGGTGTATAAACTTTATACCAGTCATGTTTCCCATTTAAACTGAACAACTTGACAAAAGTCAGAAAATTCAGTCGTCGCTACAGATTTCACATGGACCGAAATGGCATTTTGTGTCATTTTTAACAAGCCATTTCAGAAAATATACTACTTTTCCCCAAGTAACAGTCACATCATCAGATAGGAGAGAAATTGGGCTTTCTAATGGTGTATAAACTTTATACCAGTCATGTTTCATATCAAAACTGAACAATTTGACAAGAAAATGTAGTCATTGTGACAGTTCCCACGGATATGGAAATGGCATTTTGTGTCATTTTTAACAAGCCATTTCAGAAAATATACTAATATCTTCAAGATTAGAGTAAGATCATCAGATAGGAGACAAACAGGGCTTTGGAATGGTGTATTAACTTCATACCAATCATGTTTCTCATTTAAACTGAACAACTTGACAAAAGTCAGAAAATTCATTTGTCGCTACAGGTTTCACATGGACCGAAATGGTATTTTGTGTCATTCTGAACAAGCCAATTCAGAAAATATACTACTTTTCCCCAAGTAACAGTCACATCATCAGATAGGAGAGAAATTGGGCTTTGGAATGGTGTATTAACTTCATACCAGTCATGTTTCTCATTTAAACTGAACAACTTGACAAAAGTCAGAAAATTCATTCGTCGCTACAGGTTTCACATGGACCGAAATGGTATTTTGTGTCATTCTTAACAAGCCAATTCAGAAAATATACTACTTTTCCCCAAGTAACAGTCACATCATCAGATAGGAGACAAATTGGGCTTTATAATGGTGTATAAACTTTATACCAGTCATGCTTCATATCAAAACTGAACAACTTGACAAAAGTCAGAAAATTCATTCGTCGCTTCATGTTTCACATGGACCGAAATGGCATTTTGTCTCATTTTTAACAAGCCATTACAGATTATATACTACTTTTCCCCAAGTAACAGTCACATCATCAGATAGGAGACAAATTGGGCTTTATAATGGTGTATAAACTTTATACCAGTCATGCTTCATATCAAAACTGAACAACTTGACAAAAGTCAGAAAATTCATTCGTCGCTTCATGTTTCACATGGACCGAAATGGCATTTTGTCTCATTTTTAACAAGCCATTACAGATTATATACTACTTTTCCCCAAGTAACAGTCACATCATCAGATAGGAGACAAATTGGGCTTTATAATGGTGTATAAACTTTATACCAGTCATGCTTCATATCAAAACTGAACAACTTGACAAAAGTCAGAAAATTCATTCGTCGCTTCATGTTTCACATGGACCGAAATGGCATTTTGTCTCATTTTTAACAAGCCATTACAGATTATATACTTCTTTTCCCCAAGTAACAGTCACATCATCAGATAGGAGACAAATTGGGCTTTACAATGGTGTATAAACTTTATACCAGTCATGTTTCATATCAAAACTGAACAACTTGACAAAAGTCAGAAAATTCAGTCGTCGCTACAGGTTTCACATGGACCGAAATGTCATTTTGTCTCATTTTTAACAAGCCATTACAGAAAATATACTACTTTACCCCAAGAAACAGTCACATCATCAGATAGGAGACAAATTGGGCTTTCTAATGGTGTATAAACTTTATACCAGTCATGTTTCATATCAAAACTGAACAACTTGACAAAATGAGAAAATTTGGTAAATATAGCCACAGTGGATTGAAAATTGGAAAAAATTGGGGTGTACTTTTGTCACGTTTTTTTCAAAAACAACGATGACTCAACATATTAAGCCTAACTTTGTGAATAAATGTGTACTCAAATGTGTCATGAATAGGTTCAAAGTCCTGAAATTCAGTGTTGAAATGAGGAAAATTGACGAGCAAAAAAATAATGGCGGATTTCGATTTTCACAATGTAAATCAATATCGTGACCAATTTAGGCAATTTGATGCCTATTAAACAAGTTCTACACTAAAATGAAGTAAATGTCAAATGTCTTACCAATATTTGTGAAGGTTAGTTGGGTTTCATTGCGGAAATTAGAGTAGAATCTACAAGGCTTCAACTTCGGACATTATTTTTCCCCGTTGCGTCAACTTCCGGTTCTTCGCCAAGCCGAGGCCACCATTTAACACGGCGCCAATGGCTCGTTGCATACCCATCTGATAGAGCCCATGGTTTAACTTGTTGAACTAGTTAAATGGTCTGACATTGTAGGCCTACATCAAAGTCTTCCTAATCAATTTTACCAGTCCTTTAACACTTTAGCTGACATTGTGAAACTCCGTCAAGCAAGGCAATCAAGATTGCATTATACCAACAGAGATTGACAATCGTTTTTTGAGAAATTACGTGTCTCCATTTTATCAGTCATGTGACAGACAATATGTACATTATGAGGTAAATGCTGTCACAAAACACAAGCATGTCATCAAGACAAGGGAAATGGTCAATTTATTAGCAAATGCAGTTTGGAAGGGGACAGCACCGGATTTCAATTTCAAATGTTGAAAGAAGGGTGGCTGAAGCTACTGGCTATTCAAACTTTCAACAAGATATTAGTGAGGATATTTATTTATGCTGTCTGCTTCTTATTGATAGATGAAGACCTACAATGATGTATTGTAATGACATTGGCATGGAATTTGAATCAAGCGATAGCTCCCAGGGATGGATACTTTCCTTTAATGAATACAATCTTGAAGGATTGCGTGGTTTTCACGTGGTTTTAAATCGCAAGTATTGATCAAGATATTAGCTTGAATCATTCAGATTGCTGATTATGAATTTATAACCAGTTTAATGTCAGACAATAACGATATTCTGCCACTTATATTGTTGGAAAATATTGAGATTGCAATCTGGGAGCCAATCTCCCTTGAATTAAAATGGTAAACAACAAACTTAAATTGAAACATCACTCCCATGCATTCATTATTTTGTGTGATTCTGGAAATTGACAAATGAAAAGATCTTTTAGATTTGATTTTCTTTCCCGAGAATAATGTCTCTACTGTTGAGTTTGGCAGAGTTTCACAATGTAACCTAGGGTGTCAAAGGACCTATCGCATACTGGAATGTAGACATGTGGTGAATATCATATAAATTTTTTATTTTTTAGGGCCAAAGTTGTCAAGGAAATTATCCTTTGTTCTTTTTATATCAGCTTTTATTTGATTTTAGGTGTCAAATACCATTGCAGGGATGGTCATTCCTCAAATCAAACTTTTGAAAAAAGTCTGGTTTTGGCAAGGACATGATATGGTCCTGTTTTGCCTTAAGTAATTAACCTTGCCCATTTCAAGATTTTTTTACACCTCTGCATTGTCTCTACTTTCTTACTGAGTTAAAAGTTGATGTTACTTAGTACTATAGCTTTTGGCAGTAACTGAAGTTGGATTTTCTATGGGGCTGACAGGCTTTCTAATTTAAGGCCAAAGTCGAAGATATTTCGCCAGTGCAATATGTTGTCCCTAACTTGTATTTCATTTTTTCCTTGTAGATCAATACAATTCAACTGTAGAAAGACCCAGTTAAAATCACAATGTCTGCCTCAGCTGTCTTCATTTGTGATGTCAAAGGCAAAGTAAGTAATGACTTAATGAAGTTATTTATGGATATGTAAATTTTTTATCTAACCAGTCTTTCAGCCAGTTAAATATCTATTCATAGTAGGAAATCATGAAAGACGATTTGAAAACCGTAAAGTATTTTGACACCAATTACAAAATCAGTCAGAAAAGCCATTTAAATATTTCAAATATATTTAAACATGCATTTAGGTGAAAACAGTACTTTTGTATCACTGAATATTTGGTGATAATTTTCACTAAATTATAGAATACTGCGTTTAGACCATGTGATATATCTAGATGGTTCTTGATGATTTTTTTCTTGATTTAAAATGAGGCTGGTCATGAGAATTGATTAATCAGAGATTTGGAAAGTCTGATTTGGATCATTTTAGATATGCTTTGCTCATGATATGATTTTCATCTACTCATAGATATTCTATTGATATCTGCACTCCCTCAATACACTCGCTCATACAGATAATCCAAAAGTAGATAAAGATCATATCACTCATAAATCATAGGATATCCTCAATTTATTCTTATAAAATTAACTGAGTGTATTTTCTTATTGCAGGTCTTGATAAGCCGTAACTATCGAGGTGACATAGATATGTCCGTTGTTGATAAGTTTATGACGCTTGTAATGGAAATGGAAGATGAAGCCACACTTACTCCAATCATCCAACATGGGAATGTGACATTTTGTTATATCAAATATAATAACTTATACTGTATCCTTTATTAAAAAATAAGTTAGTTAACAATGTTCACCGAAACTAAAAGGAAAAATTCAATTAGACATTTACAAAATTTGAGAAAGACTCCAACAAAATATAATTTAAAAAAACAAGGAATGACATGTACCAGTAGTCCAGTATACTAGATTTATTGCTTGTAAATATGTATAATCATATGAGGCACATCAGTTTTACATTCTATTAACAACAGTAAATAGCTTATCCATATGATTTGTTTAAACTGATACACTAACTGTTTCCTTAACTCATGTTCAGTGCTAACTACAACTAAGAAGAATGCTAATGTTGCACTGAGCTTTTCATTTCTACACAAAATAGTTCAGGTAAGCTACAAAATATTATTTTACAAAATAAAGATTTGACGAAACATTTTTTTGTTGTGATCAACTCATGTTCAGCCAACAAAATTTTATGAAACATCATCTTGATATTTCGTTAGATTCAATTAGAATATGTATACTGTAAAGATCAGGGTATTGTGATTTCAATTTTTGTTCGTCCAATAAATTAAAAAGTAAAAAATCTAAACAGTATATGAAACAATACCAAGTTATAAATTGTTCCTATAACAATCCTCATATACATACATACATGTTTGTTGCCATGTTAATCATAAATATATATATTTTGTAGGTGTTCTGTGAGTACTTCAAAGAGTTGGAAGAAGAGAGCATTAGGGACAACTTTGTCATCATTTACGAACTCTTAGATGAACTCATGGACTTCGGTTACCCACAAACAACAGATAGTAAAATTTTACAAGAGTAAGAAATAATTCAATAATTTAGAACTGTGCATCTAACAGGCTTGAAAGTACAATAACTCATTCATTTACATGCTTGGATTTCAACAGGCAAAAGGATTAGAAAAAGCAGGCAAAATTATTGAAAATGATACTGTTAACATGGAAATAATGGCAAAATGTCTAAAATCAGCAATTTGTGTAAAAATAACCAGAGAAAATCCCCTGTTTGCCTGCTGCCAATGGATGGATCATGTACATCATTTATTTTTGCTATAAAGTCTGATAATAGAGTGCTGTATGTAATCATCTTCATTAATTCACAGACATACTTTATGAAATTAATATAACAAAGACCGAGTCACTCCTCCAGTCCTTTCCATGTTCCTCGTGAGACTTGCAACAGTGAAGTTACATTATTAATATATTGCTTGGAACCCCCCCTCCTTATATGATTAGATTTTGTGAAAGAATGACTCATTGCCACATGTCCACTAAGTGTACATTTAGTCATGTTTACCACTACATTTTTCCAGATACATTACCCAAGAGAGTCACCAAGTAGAAGTTCAAGCAAGACCCCCTAGCACAGTTACAAATGCAGTGTCTTGGAGATCTGAGGGTATCAAATACAGAAAGAATGAAGTGTTCTTAGATGTCATAGAATCTGTCAATCTTTTGGTAAGTTAATCTTCTCAGTCTGGAATTAGAACTTGATTTTGTCATTATAAAGTATATATTATTGAACAATACAGCGTCAAAAAAGCTATTTTTACACCATAAATTGATATTACAGTTTATGTGAGCAATCCGCTCACAGGGGAGGGCAACTTTTGCATACAGATCGGTCATGATGCCAATACACCAGCCTTGAGTCCATGTAAAGCATTGCCAGTGCAGAGTGCCAGAAGCTAAAGGGGGAGGTGAAATTTAGACCCTTGCTGGTGCATTCTGAGTGTATCTATGAACCATAAAACCTCAATCTCTAAAAAAGAGGGGGGCCTAACTTCGGACGGGCCTGCATGAGAAACTGTACATGTACATGGGAGGTCATATAACAAAAAAGTGGATAAAGTACAGTTCTCTTATTTACTTACTAAAAATGTAGCTCAAATGAACATTTACAATGTGAATCTACAAAACAATCAAAAACGGATCAATAAGTAAACTACTTTGTTTTATTTTATTTGACAGGTTTCGGCCAATGGTAATGTTCTACGTAGTGAGATAGTCGGAGCTGTAAAGATGAGAGTTTACCTCTCTGGCATGCCAGAACTCAGACTAGGACTCAATGATAAAGTTCTCTTTGAAAGCACAGGAAGTAAGTTCAACAGTTGTTTGAGGCTATTGAAACCTATTAGATTATTAATAATTCAAAAACAATTCTTTTTTAATGTTACAATACAGAATTTTACAATATTATAGGACAATTCTTGCTTGACAACCATTTAAATTATGCATTCCATTTCAGCTTTAATGTTTAACCCAGCTTTTTATTTTTGTTAGTTTTTATTAATGTTTTTAGTAGGTGCCAGATATACACATGCATCATGTTATATATAACCTCTTTATATGCCAAAGAGACTACAACAAAGGGAAGCTTTGTATGACCAAACCTGAGAAAAAACCAATGTGGTGCTCACTCAAAAATTTAATATGAACCATTGTTAGAAAGACATCTTGAGGAAGTTGAGGATTGTTATTCGACTTGGGACCCATGGCTAGGTCAAAATATATTTTTCATAAAAGTATTAGAATTAAAAACAATGAAATTAACAGAAGTGATTAATTATGTACATAAACTATACATAAGACAAAAAGAGGGGATTGTTTAATCCTTTATTATTATGTCACCATCAGAAATGGTGACATATTGTTATAGTCTCCAACTTTTTTGTGGACACTGTTCAGTGGTTGGGATCTGTAACAAATGGAAGGTGGTGATGTTTTGCCTTGTTTAAATTACTAGTGTGAAAAAAATATTTTGACCCAGTCCTTTTGGTATGAAGCTTCTTCATATCTATGTTATAACAATTACATGGCTTTGGTACTGTAGATATATGTAGATGTTACTGTCATCCTAGCCTTGCCTAAGTCAGTGTCCTATTTTTACTTTTACTTCAACACCTTGTACCAATCATATTTACACATGCCTTACCGACAGTTTACAATTGTCAGTCAATTGTAATCAATAGCACCCATCCTTATAAATACTTGCTATAAGCCAATCAGCTATGGCAAAGATCAAGATAAGTAAAAGAAAATACTGACTTGGGAATGGCTACTGTGGCCCAGCTATTATACCATATATTCTACTCCCCAATGCTGCATTTCAGGAAAGAAAAGCAAAGCTGTCGAATTAGAAGATGTTAAATTCAACCAATGTGTGCGATTATCTCGTTTTGAAAATGATCGCACCATTTCATTTGTGCCACCTGATGGGGAGTTTGAGCTACTTTCATATCGTTTAAACACCCATGTAAGTGTGGCGTGAAAGAGGTCAAAGGTCATGGGTCAGCGCAGATGATGTCCCAACAGATACATGAACATCATTGGGGACCGAATGAACCTATATGTACAAATTATCATCCTCCAATTACAGTTGTCACCAGCTCTTGCCTCCTTTCTTTAAGGATTTTGAATTGGTTTGGTGCATCTTTGATTGGAGAATGAAAATAAAGTTGTCCATCATGATGTTCTTTGTAGGGATGATACATTATGCAATATTTAGACCCTAATGCATGTCTTATGACACCTCTTTAGTTAAACTTTGTACCTTGCTTGCTTGTTGTCATTTCATGTTGCAGTCTAACTTCAGTGACACCAAAAATCGGTATTTCAGTAAATGAAATACCTGATCAGGCTTGGAGATAATTGACAGAAATATTTTCAATTAGACGTTTTTAAATGAACATGTAAAAAATAGTCCAATAAATTGTAGTAGTTTACCTCATCTGTTTTTAGATACTGGTGAATGCCTTTCATCAAATCTACTCTATTAAGGCATTGGGTTCTATCTATTTGTGGCCTGATGAATTTTACTTGAAGGGTCACAGAAGAGAGATTAGATTAGAATGCATGATCTGTCTACATATTGTCTTGCTTCTTGTCATTATTGTTTAGAAAACACGAGACATCATTTCACTCAACCATATTTATATATTCAGTGAAATGGTTTGATGATTTGAATTCAGCTTCTCTGTTTTCTTGCAGTAAGTGTTTGTCTCATGACTTCATCATATGATATTCGAAAAGAGGCTCGGTACTTACCCTATCATATCATCTTAGTTTCTATGATTTATATAAATAAATGATAATTAGGCAAGGATAAATAACTATCAATTCTAATTAATTTTGACAAAAATGTCTATTTTATTTAGCATAACCGTTTCAATAGGATTTAGGAAAAACAAACACTCTCATTGCTTAACATAGATACTCTAAGATAATGATAATACAAAAGGATGAAATGAAAGGGTAGCTGTTATGTATGGTTATGTTTTTACCCCCTTTCGCCATTTTTAACAGGAGGCGTTTTGTATTCCCATCAACCAACCCACCCCTGCGTTTACCCTGCATTCTTGCTTGCTAGATACCATTACACTAATGTCATATGTCACACCAGATACCATTACACTAATGTCATATGTCACACCAGATACCATTACACTAATGTCATATGTCACACCTTGATGGTGATTCATCATTGCTGTATGTTTTATAATTGATTGCTTTCTGTAGTCTAAAGCAAAGTAAAATTGGGGCATCTCAGTGATGCCTTTTCTCCAGCTTCTGAATTGGTTGGTGTAGCAACCCTGAATTCGTGTATTATGAATTGGTGTATCATGAATTGGTGTGATATCATGAATTAGTGTGATAATATGACATTACTGTACATAGGAATGGTAACTGAATATCAAATATAGTTATTTGAATATATTAATCAAGTTTTGGTCTTAACCCCATCTCCACAAAACAAAATATTTTATTGTCTACTTACTGATGCTATCAATAACAAATTATTCATATTGAATATGTAAAAAATTGATATTCTAATTCAGATATCATCAGAAAATCAAAATTTTACAAAACCAGATTATTAATTAACCCCTGCCCCAAAATAAAATTAATTTTCTTTTTCACAACTATTGATATTTGGAGACCATCCCCTAGAGGTATACAATGTAGTCCCCTGCCTGGTATAAAGAGCTGTTGCTTAAATCTAGCTGGTTCTGCCTGTTGTTACAGGGGGCAAGACGAAAGCTGTTGAACTTGAGGATGTTAAGTTCCATCAATGTGTTAGGTTATCAAGGTTTGAGAATGACCGAACTATTTCATTTATTCCACCCGATGGGGAATATGATTTAATGTCGTACAGATTGAACACGCATGTAAGTTATGTTGCACGGAGTCAGAATAATGAGGGACCAACTAAGACTCAAACCTGTTAATGCACATCTATTGTTTTCTTGCATTCATCTGTATTATATTACTAATTTTTAATCCACAAACCTCCTTAAATTATGCTTACTGATATTATAAAATCTGAATGAAAATTAAGTTAATTAAATTAAGCTATGTTCCAAGTAGTTTCAGTTGGTCCTTCATTCCAGCAATATCTTTCATATTACTCTTTTGAATAGTTTTACATTGTTTTGAGTTTGATATATTTTTGGGAAGGAATTGTATCTTATATATAGACTGCTGTTCATATTAAATTTCTTATTTGAAAGATTTGGTATTGGCAAAATATTAATTTATTTTGAATAATTGTTTGGTAAATCTGAGTGATATTTCATATTTGATGTTTGAAAGATATGATTTTTTGATTGGTTGAGTTTTTTACTAGTATTAAAGAATCAGAAGGGATAGAGAGTGTAAAAATCCTAATTTTAAAAGAATTGAGAATTCTGATGAAATAAAGAATTTATTGAAAAACTGTGATGCAGAAATGTTCTAATTCATTAGAATTGAAAATGGAAATGACTCTTTTCAATTTTTAGGCTGATAAGTTTAAAATCAAAGGATTATCCTGTAATACAGAGTGTCTCAAAAAAAATGTTACAAGTACAAAATTCTCAATATTTTTTATAATTTTAGCATTTACCCTAAAACGTAATTGAATACAAAAAGAGCAGGCTCTCTTGATTAATTTGACACCAGCAGATTTAAAATCCGTTCATGGTTGACTGCACAGGACAAACTTTATGCACTCATGTGAAATCTGACTTGCGCCAACTTCTCAGTGGTTAAAAAGAACAAAGGACAAAGAGAAAGCATTCCTTCAACAGTTAATTTTATTCACAATTGAAGATTGACACTTTACTGATTAATTCTGCAATTTTCGTACCTGTATTTCGTTGTATGGCCACCGTACCTATTCTCCTAAACATTCGCTCGCCCTAACATATCCCTACAAGCACGTGTGGTAAGCTCCATTTCTTCTCGTACCACACGGATTTTATCAATTGTTCTTTGATAAGGTTCTTTCAGATCAGTTGGGAGTGTTGTGAAGAGCTTGGCCTTCAGTTGGCTCCACAAGAGGAAATCCAGAGGGGTTAAGTCGGGTGAACTTGGGGATCACTTGACTAGGTTATTAAATGCAATGATCCGATTTCTAAAGGGTTCTGTCACAGCCCTTCACCTGTGAGGAGGAGTGTCATCCTGTTGTCACCACCCATTCCGAAAATGACCATTCTGCTGGAGTTAGAATCTTGGAATAAGGTCCCGTAAAGGCATGACATGTTCAACCACTGAGAAATTGGCGCAAGTCAGATTTCACATGAGTTCATAAAATCTGTCCTGTGTATTCAACCAAAGATGGATTTTAAATCTGCTGGTATCAAATAAACCAAGAAAGATTGCTCTTTAAGTATACAATTGTGTTTTAGGGTAAATGCCAAAAATTTGAAAGATATTGACCATTTTGTACTTGTAACATTTTTTTGAGACACTCTGTAAGTCAGTACTTATATACCTTTTAGAACACATACATGAAATGCGATGATGAAAGGAAAAATATAAAATTATAACAATTTCCTCTGCTCAAACTCTCAATCTTTATTCCTTCTTCTCCTATTGATCGCATGTTAAATCTGAGTGTTCACAAGTAGCTCATTTCAGTTGGAGTTTTAATTTCTCAATTCTATACCATTTTTATGTCACCACCAAAAAGTCTTTTTTAACTTGCTTCAAATTGACCAACTTCAAAATCATCTACAAGTTCTCAAAAGTTCAAATCTGACAATAGATTTGACCTTCAATGACATTCTCAATCTCAACAAAGATTTGTCCTTCAAAGATCTTCTCAAGGTAAAAAAAAGTCTTTCAACTTACTTCAAATTGACCAATTTTTTCTCAAAATCATTTACAAGTTCTCAGAAATTCAAATCTGACTTAAGATTGAACTAATAATATTGTGAGCAACTAGGTGGTGACATTTTGTCGTGTCACTTTTTTGGAAATGGATCTCCAAACTTAACTTCTACAGAACCACTTCTTTGCTAATAACTATACTAACCAGTCACATGCATCCAGTAAAATCCCTGAACTAATGAACATAGGAACAAGGCCGACAGAAATATAACAGTAGTGGCATATTAGTTAATATCTTCCAATACCATCTTTCTGTCAATTTAGTACCTATGCTAATGAACTTTTCTGAAACTTACATATTTATTTTTACATAAATATACAGCATATGGGTATAGTAATTGTTTCGTCATATTTTCCAATAGAATTCAAATATATTTTCACTCAGGCAATATGTGTATTTATTACATGTTATTTTATGTGTCATTATGCTCAGTATCTTTGAATCAATGGATCTTTACATCTCTTAAAATGTGCCTTTTTAATTTCACGACAAATACACAATTTGATTCTAGTTCTCACATGTCGCATAACAGTGTGGTACATGTCCTAGTATGGGACATGTCCTAATATGACACATGTCCTAATATGGTATTGTTTGTTTGTAGGTTAAGCCACTCATATGGGTTGAGTCAGTCATTGAGAGACACGCACACAGTAGAGTTGAATACATGATTAAGGTAAGTAAAGCCTGTTCTAGTGCGGCTTATGTAAAGCATATCATACAAATTGAAAAATTGAATTTTAGAATGACATTGTCTTTGATCTGAAAGATAACATCAATATTTTGGCCAATCCCATGAGGGTTATTCAATAGTATACCAATCCAGTTTTCTTATGATGAGCTGGAAATCCCTGCCACAATAATTACAAAAATATCAAATAAAGAAAGCTGAATAATTAATTTTGAATGTATTGCAGGCCAAGAGTCAGTTCAAGCGTAGATCAACAGCCAACAATGTTGAGATCATTGTACCAGTGCCACAAGATGCCGACTCCCCTAAGTTCAAGACTACTGTTGGAAGTTGCAAGTACAGCCCAGAATTGAATGCTGTTGTGTGGAGCATTAAATCATTCCCTGTGAGTAATTACCCTGAATCTATATCCCTGAATCTATGATCCCTCTAACTATTGCAGATGATTTTACAGTTTCTCTCCTTATATGATCTTTACCATTTCAAACATTGTTTTTGTTGCCTTTTTGAGGGTTTGAATGTTAATTGAATCTTTGCTATTTTGGACCAGAAGTTAAACAATTATCTCCATACAAGCCTGTATATATACAGTACTGATATTTCCCCATTTGTACACATTATTTAGGGTGGCAAAGAATTCCTGATGCGTGCCCACTTTGGTCTGCCAAGTGTCATGAGTGAAGATACTGAAGGAAAACCACCAATCCATGTTCGGTTTGAGATCCCGTACTTTACCGTTTCTGGTATTCAGGTACAGTAACAACAAGCTTTATTCAGTTTTTTATAATTTTTTGATTTAAAGGAAATGTAATTTTATGTCATCTTATTAGAGCTGTTAGCGTTGTTAGCAGGGCTTGTAGATATATTTTATTTGCACATTTCATTTTTAATACTACAGATTCTTTGTTGTTTACCAGTTTTATTATAGTAACACCTAGCCCTTGCTGCTAATTTCGTTTTGCTAAATGTCTAAAACCCGGACTTCAGTTATGTGTTTGTTTGCTAGTAGTAGGGTACTCAGAGTAAAATGGCATGAAGGTCATGCTCTAAGGCATGGATTACAGTTTTGCATGAAGCCTTCAAGTAGACTTCCCTCATAACGTACATAATCTACACTGTACGAGTGGATATGTCACCAAACACTTGGTACAAGACACTTGTATAGGCAGAGCATGACCTTAGACCATTTTTTGTGGGGTATGGATATATGTGAAATAAGATTGTTGGGATTTTTTGTTGAGCATATTATTGGAGTAGGTAGCTCAAGTTGTACAATTGTATTTTGAACATACATATTGTATTTAGAAATTATCTTTATTTACAAATTTCGATGTTACTATCTCAACTATAACGTGGCCAATGCCAGTTCAATGCGGAGTTCACTATTATGTTTGTTACTATTATTTAGTGTGAATTTCAAAGCCTGAATAGGTAGATACTTAGACATTTCTGTTGTGCAACTTGAGCGACTTGAACATATTTTTTTATCTTTAACTTGGTGCTATCATACATTATATTGACACAGTACAGTATTTCATTTGAACACTATCTATGTGGAACAGTAAAATAGCTGTGTTACAGGGGTAGAGTTTCATGTGATAAAACTCTATTCCATTATTTTATTTAATATTTTAATTGAATTTTTTTCTTAACTGGGATCTAGAGTAGACCGCACGTTGCATGTTAAAGAGTTGAAGTGTTTCTGGCTTTTGCAGGTTCGCTATCTCAAGATCATTGAGAAGAGCGGCTACCAGGCTATGCCATGGGTGCGCTACATCACCCAGGAGGGAGAGTATGAGATACGAACCTCCTAGCTATGTACGATATACTCTAATATAACACCACACTGTGTGCTGTGTTTCTCTACTTTCCTTTCCTTACAATAGCTAAGGGGTCAGGTCAAAAATCTATCAAAAATGTTTAATATGACTTAACCCCTACCCTCACCCTCAAAATAAGACATTCGCTGTTGATGTGACTTTAGTGAATGTATTGAGTTTATGAAATATTAATTCTTGGAATCCAAGAAGTTGGTGCTATAACTAAATAAATTGGATTTCACACCCACCCTCCAAAATGTCATTATGTAATGACAGAGGCTGATATCTGATCTGACCCCCCAAGGCTTATTTGAAAAGTCATCAGATTTCCAAATCAAGTTCAACTCAATACTGTTGATCATTTTAGTTGCACTCAGATTTGAGAGTTTTATGACTTGTCAATTAAGTCACTGTGCAAGAGCTTTAAAAGGTAGAATGCTGCCATTTACCCTTAATAGTACACGCCAGGTGTCATGTGACCAGCTTCCTTTCATGTAATTGACCAAACTATATCATGTTGGTCAGTGGTAGCACAAAAATGCTTATAACACTAATTGCGCGTACGCATTGCACCATTTGACTATTGCTATCTGCATTGCAATATCACCAATATATTTGATAACCACCTTCTTCTATGATATAAACAGGCAACCCCCTGAAAACCGTCTTTACATATATGCTATGTAGTTCATGACACTTCTCATATAGTAAATGCAAATTGTTATATTTCAATGTAGCCTTTATTTAGAAAATGTGAAAGTTCAGTCTTGAAAAGTAAAGAACTAGAAACTTTATAGCATACATGTAGTCCTGGTTGGGTTGGATAACTACATCAGTAGTCGCCTTGTCTGAGATGGAACATCAATACATAATAGTTAAAATATGCATTTTCATTTTTTCTAATGTTTGTAGAATGATGATTTCTGCTATTTAAGATATTCTCCAGATTCTGTCTAGTTAACATAGCTTATAGTTTAACTAGTTTCCTTTTGCTTTAAATTGTAAATGCTTCCTTTAATTTGCACTTCTTTGTCTATAAACATAACAACTGTAAGAATAACTTACAGTTATTATGTCACCACCAAAAGGTGGTGACATTGTTATGGTCTCCATTTTTCGTAACGGTGATCGGTGGATGGCGATTGGCAATCTGTAACAATTTCTTACAACAACAAATACTGTTTAGACTGACTTCAATTTTTTTCAAAATCATCTACAAGTTTTCATAAGTTCAAATCTGACTCTGGAATTAAGATTTCACCTTTGATGACCTTTCAAGGTCAAAAAGGTTAAAAATGTATTTTTTCAACTTGCTTCAAATAGACCTTTTTTCAAAATCATCTACAAGTTCTCAAAAGTTCAAATCTGAATATAGATTTGACCTTCAATGACATTTTCAAGGTCAAAAGGTCTTTTTTCAACTTGCCTCAAATTGACCAATTATTTTTCAAAATCATCTTCAAGTTCTCAGAAGTTCAAATCTGACTTTAGATTTGAGATTTCACCTTCATTGACCCTCTCAGGGTCAAAAAACTTGTTTCAGATTGACCATTTTTTCAAAATCTTCTCCAGAGTTCTCAGAAATTCTAAAATCTGACTTAGTTTAAACTCAGGTGAGCAACTAGGTGGTGACATCTTGTCTTTTCATGTCAAAATGTGTATTTTATGGCACTTTATTGCTGGGAAGATGCACATATCGTAAAACTTGAATTGTTGGCAAATATGGATTGAATAATTTACGATTGATCCTCTGAAATATATTTATTTACACACTGTTGTCTACAGTATTTGTTTCTTAAGGTCTTTCAAATTGATGACAACTACTTTAATCTGGGAGGTGTAAAGTTTTATCCCATAGTTACTGTCATACATGTATTCATAGGATATAATGTCAAAATAAAAAAGTATTTTTTGTAACTGGTGAAAAAGTATCATATTTTTGGCAAATATTCATTGAACCATCAAATACGTATACCATGAGATACAGTACTGTATCTCATGGTTAACAGATTTTTGCTACTTCACTGAAAATGAGGCTGACAATAGATGTGGGGTCAGAGCAGAATATTAAATTAAAATTTTGTTTTTAGGTTCGTTACTTGAAGATCATTGAGAAGAGTGGATACCAGGCTTTACCATGGGTTAGATACATAACACAAAATGGTGACTACCAGCTTCGCACATCATAAACTTCAACTGGTGTCTATTCTTGCGATATAAGATAAGGATGTGTATGTATGTATATGAATAATGAAAAACATAAGGTTGATGTTGGAGGACAGTTGGAGGATGTTTTCAGTGATGTCATATGATGTAGTTATAACAAGAGGATGGCATAAGGGCCAGCCTGATGTAAGAGAGAATATATCCTCCTTGGAATTATTGTCCTAGTTTATTTATATTGCAACCTAATTGTATGGTAATCCAGGCTATAAATTCTATGGCAATATTCACTTGTATATCAGGCCATCTAAGTTGGATCAAGGCGAACTGAGTCTGAAATCCTTATGACGTACCCTGATTATAATGATTGACCAATGACAGAATGTTTTAAAAACACTGGAAACATAGTGGATCCAGCATGGTTAGTGAATGACTATGTCAAGCATGTGGAAGCGATGTCAATGTGGACTTGTATTCTGAACAGAGAGCTTTGTATAAAATAATGAAAAAATGTGAATATGAAGGACATTCACTATTAGTATTATTATTAAATATGGATATATTAATTAAATATTGATAGTGTTTTCTTTTTTTAAGTAAAGAATTATTCAAATCATGATTGACTATCAAGCTACTGATTTTATGAAATGTAATTTTTGAACATTCCAAAATGGGTGTTCAAAAATGAGGGATGGAAAATAAGAATGCGAGTATTTACTGTATTTGTACATTATAACCTATGTGTAATTTCTCTTAATTCCTTTCAAGATAAAGAATACTCATTTTGAGGGCTTACATACTCATTTGAGGGCTTGCATACTCATTTTGAGGGCTTGCATACTCATTTTGAGGGCATGCATATGTATGTCAACTAATTTGTGAGCATGTGTCACACTTATCCTTGAATATCAAAGGTTCATTTTTTGGATTTCACATCGACAAATTAAATGTAATATATTACATGTATTGAGAATTTGTATGTATTTGATGCTGCAATATAATGAATCCAGTGTGATATATTGTAGCACAAACAGTTCCTAATTCCTAAAATATGTATATCCGGTATTATTTTAACTAGGATAGATTCTTAATACATGTAGTAACATGGACATAGATTCTTCAATTTATGGCAAAAATATGACCTTGTTTATATGCCAAAATGTCCAATTTGCAAATGTGAGCCTTTTAACATTGATCAAAATAAAACATGTAGTCATGAATTAAAGCATCTCAATCCCTATCCCTTACATAGAATTGTTTTCAACATTTAAAATGTAATTTCAATTGTACCATATCAATGGGTTGATTATGATTTGGACATCTAAAAGGGAAGTGCAATTGATTATATTAACTTTGACTCTGTAATAACAGTGATAGTCTATAATATATTACATAACAGTAAATATAAAATACTGGATATTCTGTATCAAAAATATATTTCTTGTGTTGTATTTCTTTAAGCATTTCATGCTTCTAATTAACACATAAACAGTTTAAACACAAGTGGCATAACCAGGAGTTTGATAGCAGGTACGCGAGGCTGAATTTTGATTTTAGGCCTTAAATGATGCGTTTTGAGCAATATCAGACTGTTTAATGAGGCACTATTCAATCTTTTAGGGTACGCACATGTGTACCCTCATGTATGCCTATAGTTACGTGCCTGAACACAATGCTTTTTTCAAAATTAAAGCTGCCAGATGATGGTACCTTAGAAAACTGAGATCTTATTCTAAGATCAAAGTCAACCAAAGACAATAATGTGTGACCATTGACTCATCTATGGAATAACATAGGACTGATGGTCCTTGGATTTTTGCATAAATATTTGGTATTGAAATAGCCTATTGGAATTGATCCTTATGTTCATTGTGTCTTGTGCTCCATATAATTAGTCGAATTGGAAATTTAAATTGCAGTTTATGTACTATTTTTTCCATTTATTTGTACTTTTGAATTTATAAGTCTTGCTTTTCACTTGAAGTTTTTGATTCACTTCATTGGACTCAGGTTTATGTTCTGTATGCAAGAATTCCCAGAGTTGTTTAGCATTTAATTTGTTGCCTAAGATTTCTGCGATTTCATCTTGGGATTTGTTAGTTAAGTCTTCTATACTTTCCACTTTTGTTAAAATGTAGCGTACATTTTTAGAGTTCACACCAGGCATCTTTAAAAGCATATCCTGGAAATAACAAACATAAAATTATTTTCAACATAATAGAATATCTAGTAATTAATCAGTGGGTTCCTTTAAAACATAATCCATGGATTATTCAAAGTGTATTTCTACCTGAGGTCCATGGTTGTAAGATCCTGTGTCAATATCACTGGCAGTAGCAATCTCCATTGCCCTGACAGCATCGGGCTGGGGTCTGCCTCTTTTTAACTGTTCAAACAGTTCTGCTGTAGCGTAAGGAGATTGGCACCATAGTATACGTAACTTAGGAAAGTGGAGGGTCAGCAGGGTCAATTTAGATGTTATATCTTGCACTGAGATCTCACTGGACAATGCATACTTGCTCTGAAATATAATAACAAAAAATTACATATGACTTTGAATTAAGTTAACAAAGAAAATACTCTGAATCCCAGTTGACTAGGTCACATTCACCTCTATTACAGTTGATTCAACAGGTTTGCTGCATCTAAGTTCCACACGATTTCAAATTTAACTTTCATGGAACTTTTAAGTTAGTTCAATGTGGTTGCTATTTATAGGGATGAAACAATTGATGAACAAATTGATTCCAAAAGTGGACATTTTTAATCAAAAGAAAATTGCAAAGTTATACTGTTACAGGATGTATTAATTTACCTGCAGAGCAAAAGATTTTGTTGCATCAAACTCAATGAGCAACACAGGCTTTTTGTAATATCTCGTCATCGCAATACACTGGTTGTACAGTCGGCCATTATTCAATGAACCAATCAAATCACTGACACTTTTCCTTTCAACACAAATATCAGGTGTCAGGATATAGTCTCCAACTTCAACTGTAACTGGTTCGATCTCGATACCACGTCTATGAATCAATGATGGCAGTTCACTACGAAACTCTCTCATATCCACAATTATTTTTTGAGGCTCAGTTGGTTTGGCCTTGCCTCCTTTTCTACTAGATTTCTCTGCAGATTCTGCATTTTCCTCTGGATCAGTTTCTAGTTTTCCATCAGCGTTTTCAGCTATTACCATACCAGATTTTTCTTTGATAAGGTACTCAAAGGCTTCCTTCTCTTTCCTAAGGGTTGTAAGGTATCTTTGCTCCTCTGTTGAGCCCACATACATCATGAAGTATACCCGTAATGGGACACCTGGTCGTGATGCCTTGAACACCTTAAGATTAACAAACTCATTATTAAACTACTATTTGGTGAATACAGTACTGTGTAGCTTACTGTGATCAGGTGAAAGCACATCGTATTTAATAAGAATAGACTACCCCATTATGAGAACCATTATAATTTTTAAAAGGTACCAAAAGCCGATTTTCCAAAAACAAACCACAAGCTGTTAACAATATATTGATGAATATGCCTGTATGGACTCTCTTAAAATAGGTATATAAGCATTAGTTTAGAATGGCAGTTTTCACTGAGGAACTATGTTTTCAAATTTACTGGTCTTCCATTCAATCAACCGAACCGTCTAGTCACAATGTAACACATTTTGGATCTGATTCCCCTCAGTGTCAGAAAGGAAGCCTATATGTGTAATCAATTTCTTCGTCAAGTGGGTGCAAGTTTTTCATTTGCAACATTTCACAATTTTTATGATGTTCTCAGTTGGGAAAGTTTTTGCTACTATGAGTTAACTTAAAGTACTCTTGTATTACTTATACTGTGACCTATAGTTACCTCTAACTGTCTCACAAAGACCATATCAGCATCATACAATATCACGTATCTCGGTTGAACATCCTCCAGGGTACGGACAAGGCCATTGGGGTCACTGGTAGAGTGGAGGGGGTGCAGTATGGTGACAGGGGAGTCAACTATATCATAGTAAGCATCCGCAGATCTACCTGGCACTTCAGGTTCCTCTTTCTGAAGGGAAATACACTGAAGTTGATGGGACATGATAAGATTAAAAAATGATTCAAACGCAATGTGTTAATTTGAGAGAGGTCTTACTGTAGATGTGTGTAAAGATCTCTCCTAAAGCATATCATGAAATGAAATAAGAAGTACAAGTAGCACTTAAAGCTACATGCTGGTAAAGTTATCCAGCTGTTATTCAATCATTACAAAATGACCCATTTTCATTAAAGGCTTTAAAGGTTTCAATTCTAATTCAAATTATTTTGCCATAAGAAATAGGCAAATAAACCAGTATCAGTAGAAATAATACAGGAGGCAAAATGTATGTTATATATATGATATATGCAAGGTCATACCCTTTTCTCCTGGGGAAGCATCTGTGTTAGTGTGAGATTCTCCTCTGGGAAAGTCTTTGCTCTAGCTTTACCTTTGGCTTTATTTTCCTAATTAAAACATGGACTTACCAACATAAAAGAGTATGCATTAGCTAGAATGCTGACAAGGCAGGTAGCAGTTGATCAGGTTTTTAATAATAATATTTAAATTATCAATAATATTTATATTATTTATTCAATCCTAGATGGCTGTTAACATCCACCATGACTACTGTAAAGCATGATTAAATTCACAGATACCTTAAATGTACGCATATTCGCGTGAGTGTAAAATCAGAATTCATGATGCAGCAAAAATTGTATACTGGCACAAATTGTGGCACTTGCAAAAATCACAAAAACACGATTACACAAGAATAAACAAATGTGCTATTCTATGAAAATTTCTCCTGTGAATTCATTGTGTTTTATACTGATTTATCACAAAACCATGCAACAGTACGTACATTTATGAGCTTGCCTTGTTTGGTGCCTATAGATCTGTTGTAAAGGCGTCTCAGCATAGCGTCACCACCATCACATAAGTACTATAACCAACAATAACATCATAACACATACATTTTTAAAATAAAGTCCAGGTGAATAAATATTATAGACCACCTTTTCTGTTATATTCACTTGTTGGGAATATCTTATAACAAACTAAAACTCATTTCTCAAGACTATTCAACACTAACTTTGCTCTATCTAAGGAGGGATTGGCTGCTGAACATATATTTAACTTTAAATACACAAAGCTATGTTAATTCCAGGTAAAATATACATGTACCTCTTTTAGTTGATTACAGGTGCGATCATCCTCAGCACAGACCAATACCTTTCCTGGTCCCAGAGCAGTGTCTTCCATGGCCTTGTTCTCATCCACAATCTCCTCCAGAATGCTGGACAGGGCTTCCCACTTTGGACAGGCCTCAAGGAGAGGCTCAGCTGGTGTAGCGTCTCCTTTGTCCTGTTTAGTAGCTGCTGAGTCAGTCTTAGGCTTTTTGGTTTTGTTGTCAGTTCCGAATACTCTTTGTCTTGCATACTGCAATACTATTGCAGTGTGAATCATCTGCACTTACATTCAAAACACAGAAGTACGTACAATGTACAGTGCTTTTGCCATATCTCCAGAGGGAGGGGAGGCTAGGGGTATCTTGTTCCAAAATTTACTGCTTAAATTCATGAAATTGTATAATTTCTAAGAAGATTGAATGATCAGGTACACTTTAAGTTCTTAAGCTGCAATACTGATTAAGAAAACAAAACAATCTATACCAGAACATACACTAAACAAAACAAGGTTTGATGCACCTAATGAACATAATGATAGATTAGTTAATATTAGCTAAAGTTATTTTCAAGTTGAATCTGCAAACCTCAAGATTTATTTTTTGTGCACGAAATTGAACAAAATGCTACATACCAGAAAGAGGCTATCAGCAGCATCTAGAAAGAGCCACCCTGAGTTGTTACCAAATGTTTTCTCATTGGATCTGATAGAGTTGACTAGATTATAGAAGTTAACGCAATCATACTGCGTCAGGTGACTGAAAACATATACCAATACATACTTTTAAAGAACATTATCATTATGTAAAACTATTTTTATGAACAAAAGTAACATCACAACTAAAAAGCTGAACACTTTATGAACATGTAGAAGTAAAGGGCACAATTCTACTTTTTTCAAAATCTCACTGGGGAAGATCTTAAGATAACCAAGGTGACCCGCAACTCACAGTTTGATACAATTTAATTATTGAAGAAAAGTATTATTTTGTCTTGTTTCTCTGAGAATCTACCAACCTTCCCGAATATTTCATTTTAAATAACATGTACTCACATGAGGATAAGTCTTAGTGTCTTGATATCAGATATAAGTTGTTTGGTTTTACTGCTCAGTACATGCCAGAAGGGATCTAACTGGAGACGTATGACTTTATCAAAGTCCCTTGTTATTACATATTCTACAGTTACCTCATCTGTATCCAGCTGAAACCAATGTAAAGACAAAGCATTAACATGCGAAATGTCACCACCTGGCATTTCTTACAGATGCCGAATGCCAAACACCAATTACCGAACATCAAACACCGACCACTTGTGGGGGTGACATAATAAGAGGTTGTCTCAAAAGTATGACATTTTTTACATATAATCCATTTCATCAACAAAACAGACCTTGGAAAGTGTAATTTTTCTTGAATAAAAAGGTACAACAACAAATCATTGAAAAATCTGAACCCATAGGAGGAATGGTTGCATATGGGAAAGGGTAAGTGAGCATGGAGGTTTCCTCCATTGAGTATTGTTAACAAAAATAATGATTTGTATGTACATACTGAAGGGTTACACCTCTGCACTTCCTGCACACATGCCTTGATCAGATCTAGTATTGCTATCTGACATGCTGTCATCAGTGATGTCATATGAAGGTGGATCTCTATCACCTCTGGCTAGAATATATTTTATCAAGTTTTATTTTATACTTTAAACATCTGTATTGGATGATTTTGGAAGAAAGCAATATTTACAAAAGGCTGTGTTTTGACCACCCTGTACTTTTGTGAAATAATAATAAACTGATATGTGACCAAGCACAAAAAGGTATCTAGCATCCCTGAAAGACAAAGCTTGTGAGAGGTACACTTATGTGTAATGAGTTCATGTAATATTGTGACAAGAAGGTATTCAACTGCTAAGAAACAAATTGAAACATATACATGAAGAGTATAAAGATCCACCTTATGTTTTTCTAAGCACTTTGCGACGTCAATCTGGAATCTGGGCCAAAGGTATAGTTTCCGAACAAACAGATTCTTCATGACACGTGCCACATGGCAGAAGCCTGCTGTGAAAGATTGAGGACTCTCAGAGAATGCCTTGATGAAACCTTGCTTGTTTTTCTGCCTATAAAGCCTTAGGATGAACGCTTCCTGGCAGGATTCTAAGATTTTGTGTGCTTTATACACAAGAATTCCCGAAACAAGATCCATGGGGACACGGTCTGTGAGCATATCCACGACAAGAATTCTTGAGGTAACAAAAAGGACACCTCCTTCCATGTATATAGAATGACTGGAAGAATACAATAATTTGTTTTAATTGTTGTTGTTATTCTAAATAATTACTCTATATGGAAACAAATTCTAAATAACTCAATGAAAGAACAAAAAGAGACAAATATTTTGCCATAATTTCCTTATATAAAATATAGGGAATGTTAAGGAGTCTAATAATCAATGTTACTGAGGGTTAAGTTATAAGAGACCAATACAAAATCCATGTACTATAATAAAAAGATTTACCGTTTAGTGGCAGCCAGCTCATTAGTGACAATCTTAGGTAGAGGGAGGACCCCATCATTGGCCAGTTGCTCTATGAAGTACTCCTACAAGAAAAACATTTCACAATGGTCAGACATCATACAGAGGACAATTTACTTATTTTATTCAACATTATTATGGAAAGCAATGACTTTCTTCAGACACTCTTCAAATATATGAGATATTGAAAAATTCCTAATATAGAATGGCCTAGAATGATAAACTAATGTTAATTTAAACGCAACTTGATGAAATTTCTGAAGTGTTTCAAGTATGGATAATACTATATGCCATCCATTATGTATGTGTTATCCTCCATTAGTCCATTAGTTTGAAATTAAACTAATTATGATTACCTGTTCATGAGTTGTTGTATTGAGAACAAGAACGAGACTACCAGGGTCCGAGTACACCTTCAAGAAGCTTGTGAACACCCTCTGTATACCAAGCCCCCTAGGACAGTAACATGAGTGTCACAGATTATTTTTAGTTCATTTGCTTGAATTTTATTACATAAAAAATCTTTCACTTTAAATCAAATGGGAGCCTTGCCCAAGTCGGTCTCTTACTTATCTTGATTTCTATTATGCAAGATAAAATAAGTAAAAAATACCGACTTTGGCAAGGGCAGCTAGGGATACACTGCTACATGTATTTCTACGCCACATAATTTTCACAGTTCAAATTTTGGAAAGGCACCTGCCTCATACTTAAGCTGTAGCTACACACATGTTGACATTTTTAAATAAAATAACTTATTTTGTGTTCATCCTAAAGTGACTGAGAGCCATGTTGGTAAATATGAATTTCTTTATAAAGTAACATTAAGGGCACGAAGGGAGGCCAGGTGGTACAAGGGCTACATTAAAAATAATCAAATTATCCAAAGGTAAAAGTATGGTTTTTAGGTAGAGCTATTGCAACCCAAAATCATCACGTTTGGCCCACCTTAAACTAAAACTTGGTGAATAAATGCATACCTTGCAGTAATCAAGAGACCATCGTTTTGGAACGCGTCAGCAAATATTTGATTTTCATAGTCCAAGGTCTTCATATTCTAGTTGGCCACTGGGGATAAGTGCATGTCACTTTCACCTGTAATTAGATAATACAAAGAATGGGTTATCTAGTCACTTCATATAAACTAAAAAATAAAATATGCGCACAATCACCATAATCATAGCACAATCATCCCAACTACATTCAATATTGTCATAGCACAATCATCCTGATACACACTGTACACAATGTTATAATAGCACAGTCATACTGATACACACTGCAAAATCATTGAGAAGCAGATACACATTTGCACAAATATAATCACAGCACAATCATCCCAATACACACTGCACACAATATTATAATAGCACAGTCATACTGATACACACTAGTCAGCACAACCATGGAGTAGCAGAAACACATTTGCACAAATAGAATCACAGCATAATCATCCTTATACACACTGCCCACAATGTTAAAACAACGCAGTCATACCATTAGCACAATCATCCTATTCCTAATACACACTGCACATAAACTTCAATCAACTGACATCTATTGGCCAACCTGGAAAACAGTTAGGCCACCATGTTTTCTGGAACATCTTGATATGTTGCACAAAATGCCTAATGGTATCATTACATTCATCCCAATTAATATACATTGCATACGAAACCTTAACACACACATTGAGATTCTATTGATACTGATGTAAGCTTAGAAACATTACTAAAAATTAAAAAGCAAAATAAATTGGCAGAAATTTGTCCCATTATTGTTTTTGTGAAATAAATCATGCCTTCATCCCGGTCCTCTTTCAAAACAAAGTGACCGATACTTTCAATTTAAACTTTCATTTCAATATGCTCAAAATGACTAGATAGTATCATATTATGCTTAAATCCTACAATAAATGTGTATCTACATACCGGGCAACTTTTACTTCCGGGTTATGACAACTAGGATAAGATGAAACGAAATCATTATTGTAAATAAATCTGTTGAGTCAATAGTCGGCTCCAGACCCTTACACTCAATGCGCACATTATTTATTAACATGTTATTGACATTTGCTAGGTAGCTTGTAAATATGAAGGCTTCTACGAACGAATAGCAGTCTCTCGATTATTAACCTCAGAACTATAACATACCTGTATACAATGTGAGCCTGTATTGATTACTAGAAATAAGATTAATTTATAGCATAATAAAATCGAGCAAGCTCCAACGTCTACAAGGTCTATCACTAAAATTTGATACTGAACATATGAATAAAACTATAAACTGCAGTTTTGAAAGTAATGGAAGATCAACTTTGGCTCGGGGTACTGAGGGAAGAGAATCTAGGCAATTGCCACATTGATGATTGGTGAATTACGTCCTCCATTGCTTGCCACTTGGAATAGTGACTTCGCTGGGTAATCGGTTAAAGCCACAGGTAAGCAAGAACATTCCAAGAATATTCTCAGTGACCTAGCTTGCTAAATCAATTTCGGAGGGTCGAACACACCAAATTCAATAGTTACAATGTACGTTTTGGTGGCAGCGTTTGGATCTGAATAGGCCTAGTAAAGACGACGCTATCAACTACATGTAGAGTATATTATATGGTCTTGGAATGTGTTGATGAACTATTTTGAAACGCATTTCAAATTTTTTTTTACTTGCATTGTCCAGTATTTCGCCTGTCTTTTCAGCTTTTATGTGGATTAATATGGACTACAGCTGAAACAATTGCAATCTTATTAAACTTAGAGCGTAAGCCTATACGAAGACGATGGCAACTCGGTACATGAGATCTAACTTGACATGCATCTAAAGTTTGTTCTAGCTCTTTGGCTCATTTCAGATATCATGGGTAGTGGAGCATCTACAACCACCTCAAGGCCCTCAACAGCTGGAGCAGGTTGGCACTCTTTGGCCACCCAGAGGCAGAACGTGTACGAGTCATCCTCAACTCGACCAAGTACAGCTCCTGTCCAAAATTGTGCTAGTGGATATACAATGAGTGCCACGGGGTACCCGATAGATCGTCAATATCTGCAGGCTCATTCTCCACGAAATCAGCAACAGCAGCAAACATTTCAAAATCAAGCACAGCAGCCAATGGGTCACCATTATCATCAAACAACCGCACATGCAATGGTCGCCCCACCACCTTACACACCACACGGACCTCCAGCTTATACACACACTGCCGAGAGGCCCGTCCCTCAGCCCCGCCGTGCTCCACCACCGACAGCTCCTGACAGTGAAAGCACGGTCAATTTACGTGCTGCTCAAGAACTTTCTAGGCGCAATGAAGTTTCGTCTATTGATAGACACCACAATACTGAACCAAGCCAACAAAGACAAGGTATAAAATACACTGATGATCCGCTCGATTAGGCTGGTTACCGAAACGGTTCGTTTTGGTAACAAAATGTTGGAACATTTCACACGTTGTAGGCAGAATTCCCACGACATTTTTACACAAACGTGTATCAGTATCATATGTTTAAGAAAATGTACATATGTGCGAACAAATAGTTCAGAAGACAACAGAATCGTCGATTTAATTCTTCACTTAAGTTACATAAACGGTTTTTCGAAAAACAGTAAGATGTGGACTTTTAACCCAAATCGTTTATGTAACTTAAGTGAGGAATTTAATCGACGATTCTGTTGTCTTCTGAGCTATTTTTTCGCAAACACGAACTTTTTCTAAAACATATGATACTGATACACGTTTGTGAGAAAAAACGTCGTGGGGATTCTGCCTAAAACGCGTGAAATAAGGAAAAAAGAAAAATCGTTCCTTCGACGTTCTGACATTTTGTTACCAAAACGATCCGTTTCGGTAACCAGCGTAATCGAGTGGATCACCAGTGAAATAGAACGATGCGTCTCCAGCTCTTTTCATTGATTTTTATAATTACAGCAAACCATTTTACCCAAACTTATTTCCATAATTGCGCATAATATGATGAATAATACCGTTAATAATTGTTTGCCTGGGTGTGTCATTTAACTTTGGCGAGCATTGCAATACTACCATCTGATTATATCTCTTGGATATTTTATGAGTGGACAAGCAATGGGTAACATTTGAAAACACTAAAGCCGCATGATTTCAAACTTGTAAATAATGTTAAAAACAAGTTTTAAATGCCCACTGTACATAACGCTTTCAAAGAGAAAGTATTACCCATATTCTTTATCTACAGACATAGTGACGATTTGCAATTTAGTTTCAGTGCCAAATGTTCCGGTTAGGTTCAGTAGGGATAGGTCTACTGTGCAGGTTGGAACCAAGATCTACAATGATCCATGGATGGTTTGGAAATCTGGAAACAATGATTATGATACGTCTTGTGATAAAATGATTGCATCTTTAATGCAGATTGATGAGATACTACAGGTAAATTCTCTTCTTGCTTGAAGAAAACATTGTTTATTATCGTAGCCAATTATATCATATTCTATGCAAATTTGGTCGAATTTACAATTTTCGAAAACTAGTGCTCGTACGTATTTTAAAAGTACATGTAAAAATATTGTATTTTTGATGCCAAGAGGACAATGTCTTTGAAAAAGTATGTTGGTGTGTTCATTTCACCCTCAATATCATCGAGTCCAACCAAATAATTGATGACTTTTTGAATAAACTTTTCTAAGAGATAATAAAGATACGCCGTCTTTGTGGTCAGAAAATACTCGTAATCCAAAGTAAATCTTCTAAAATTGTTAGCGATAACATACAGTGTACGTGGCTCCTTCAAGGCATATATATTATATTTTCAGAGAATAACAGAGATTCAAAGTAACTGTGCATACAATCTGTCTGAATATGGACCCCATGACGTATACGATGATCCAAAGATTCGTAGCACCGTGTCACAGCTGACTGAACTACAGCAACATATTGGCCAGCTGAAAGAAAAATTAACACCCAGGGTACAACACTAGGAATTAAAACTTTATAATGATGGGTTTTATTAGTAGTTTTGGGATTTTATGTTCTAGTTAAATTTGACTGATTTTAGATTATACATGTGACACTACTTAACAATTTATCGTTCCAGAGTCAACGATACCCATCTCCTGAATTGACTCCTCCTAAGGTAGATGAAACAAGTGATGAAATGGCTACAAGACATGAACAGGTATAAACCCCCGGGGTATAAACCGAATTACAAAGATGTTTGAATGAAAGTGTCACAAATGTCAATAACCCTGTTCAAAAGTTCATAATTCAAAATATCAATCAAAATAGGCTAGCAATTGGATTTTCCTGATTTAAAACAGACTAACTTGACGTTGATTGAATTCGTTGCTTTTTTACTTATTCGTTATTGTTATTGTAACAATGATATTAGGAATGGGATGCAGCGGAGACCAGTTTTGTCAACGATATGAGTGGCATCAGAGGTCAACTTATACCTAGTCAAGTGAAGGCTGAACTGATGAATCAACAAACCATGCTTGATCACCTCTGGATGCGCCAAATGATGGAACGGTGGGTGACTTTGGACTAATTACGTCTAGAAATAGTTGTCACTGTTAAACTTCTATCACATTATGGACTGGAAGTCAAATTTTTAATGTAACATTTTGTTCATTTTGACTGAGGTGTCCTATGTGATATCGGATCTTGATATTCGATTCTTTAAAGATGAAGACACGAAGTTATTTGACAATTTATTTATGCCTTGGTCCATGGGTAGGGGTGTTTGTTTCCTTATCACTGGTTAAGTTTTTTTAACAACGTTCTAACTGTGTTTATATCCTAATCCAATTACGAAGTACTGATACTGTTTTTACATAATATGATCTAACATACCCGTTATGAAGCACTTACTGTCCTTACATTTATTTTATTTATTGTACTTTATGACCACCCTGTATATCACGTGCATATGATAATCTGCTGTAATATTACTGTAAAACTGTTGTACTGTATTGGTGATATTTCTCAAGGTGGTGGTTACGCCAGAAGGCAAGACAACAACGCAGAGCTATGGGTCTTGAGGTCCCTGACACTGATGATGAGATGTCTTCTTCTGAAGAGGAGTTTGAAAGTGATGAAACGGATGATGAAGATGCAGATTTAGAAGGTACAATTCATGCATTTAGTCCATAATCAGAAAATCAGATGTAAAGTCCACCGTGTCATTTCTGTCAGGGTAAGAAGGACCTGACCATTTATTTCCATTCATGGAGAGTATCGTCGTCTCATATGCGATATTATTGTATGTTAATTTCAGGACAACGACGCCAGAATCATGATGAAATGACACAACCAACATCAGCAGCTACTGATATTTCTGCACAGCTTCAAGGTTTTCTTAAAAGTCATGGTATAAGCTCAACAACTCCACTTGTACCACAACAGAAAGCAGACACAACTGCAACACATTCACATTCTTCTCAAACATTTAGAAATGTACGTGATCAACAATCTCAATCAAAATTGGACACAAATCTCGGAAGCACTCAAACACAAGGAATGCAAAGTAAAATCCCTCCATTGGCAGCACTTGATGGAAAACATAATGTTTTCCGTGCAAATAATAGTCATGTTCCGGCCAACGGAAACAATGACACCATGAGAGCATTGGGACAAACTCGTGATGATTTATCTGAGTCTGATGACGAGGTACCAGAAATCTTTAATAGTTCTACCAATCAAGCAAAGACTGGCCCTGATGATGACTGGGACATCCCTGGAATGGGCTCAAAAACAGCAGCACTTAGTGCTAACGTCCCCAATGACAAATCATTTGAAAATACAATCGGGAATGATAGTCTTGTAAGGGATGGTCCTTCGCATGAATTATCGAAAATAGATCCAGCGATTTCTAAAGACCCCTCTAATTTAAATAATCGATCAAAGTACATGAAATATGCCAGACAAAAAACTGACAGTGACAGTGATGGTGAAGATGATAAGCATAGTAAAAAGCTATTTGATGCAATTCATATAACCCCACCGATAAGTTCAGTTGGAAATGACAATGATAAGGATGCTAGGCCTAGTGTGATTGAAATCAGTGATACAGAAAGTGACAGTGAAACTACAGATACGGACGGTGAACAACTTGCCACCTTAAAACAACAAATGTCTTCTATCAAATCCGAGCCTGAACAACATAGGGAGCAAAACGATAAAGAAAACATCGATGACGAGATTGTAAGTACTTTTTATGTTTTTTACGATTTAATAGACTAGTTCAAAATCTTTGACACTCAAATTTTTTATTAGAAATCACAAAGGCCAACGTAAACCTAACGACATCATGAGTGTACAATTTGCTAGAAGAAATCACGCCAGTGGCCAGGTGGCTAGCTTTTAATTTTATACTACTTGGCCCATAGTCCATCTCCAAGAGCTACCTTTCATAGTCCTATAATACCCCGATTTACAATGTTTGATAACCGCGTACATCCCAAATAGTGTACACCTCTATTCTTGACACTATTGTCAATGCTTCTGTGTTTTTCAGCCTGAAGACGATGGCGAATATTCCGATGATTTTGACAGTGATGATCAATCTACGTTATTAGCTCTGAAGGTATTTCATTGCTAATATAAACTTCCAATACATTTTAAGCTGTTCATTATAAGCTAGTTTTTGGATTTTCCCTTTTAAACTTATCTGAAAGATAAATTATAGAATTTTATCTTGTTAGGCTTGAAGATTATGGTTTTAATAGTATTCCAATATATTTATAGACTGTATTAATGTCATGTTTGTTCCAGCCCAAAAAGAAGAGAGGATTGAAATCTGCTGTGATAAGATCCTTAGCAGTGAAGTTTTTCCAGCCTGGGAACAAAACTATGAAACCAGAAGAATTCAAGGAGTTGATGAGAAAGACTAGAGAGGAAAGGGATTTTGAGGTAGAAAACACTGATTGATGGCTAATCAAATTGTATCTTGAAACACCATTCGTATTATTGCATTGGTTTTGTTTCTCATATATGAAGGCACGTGCGTCCATATGAGCCTGATTACTCTCAGTAAAAGCCTCAATGAATGGGCGTTAGTAGGAATTGAAATTACTATATACAAAGTTAATAAGTCTCCCCGAGTTCAGAAATACACGCTGTTCGATCATGACCAAAAATTGAGTAAATCGTAATTGAGAAACACACGAATAAAACACAATAAACATATCAACCAGGAATGACTACTATCAAAATTAAACATGAATATACACATTGTATTATATGTATAGTATACAGTATATTATTTTATGTGCATTGATTACCCATTTCAGCAACCCAATTCATGCAGCAGCTCAACTGCAACCACAGCATCTATTGAAAGCAAAGACTCGTGTACAGATCCACCAGAAATAGACTCGGTAAGAAGTATGATTTAATATGCTTGAATAAAAGTTTTAGGCCCCAAATCTTAAAATCAGGGCCCACTTTCTTTAAAAAAAACTAATGGCAATTTATGCCAGTTTGTTACCTAAAATGCCCAATTTATGTAGGGAGAAGCATAGTTTTTTTAAAAAAGCCAAAACTAGCAATTGTATCCACTCACATTCGTCTTTACTCCACAGGATGTAAACAGCGCAGACGATAAGTTTATCCAGACGGTAGTATACCAAAATTCAACTGGTGAAATAGATCCATTTGATGCCCGACATTTGCTGAGGCAACATCTAAAAGAGAACGCTGCTCTGAAGAAATTAAATGCATTACAGAAAAAACGTCACGATGAAGCTCTTAAATTAAAATTAGGTCAGATGAGACCTGGTTTTGAAAATAATGAAGCTAGTGATGAACAGGAAGACACTGTTGGGGAAATAGATGATGACACTAAACAGGTAAACATTAAACAACATTATGCATGGGTATTAGCGTGTCTGCCGTTTTTCTAAATGACGATTTCGGGATATTTAAAAATATTTTTGTCGGGATTGTTCTTAATTATAGTTATGTATTGGCTTACAGGAACTGCAGGTGATAGAAAATCGTATTTGCAAAGAAGTGACTGAATTGCCCAATCTGTCGGACCACGAGCTTCGACGTTTGTTAGAGAAATACAGAGAACAAGAGAAAATGCTTTTGAGCAGACGGCGTGAAGAAAAAGACAGAAACCAAGACAAGTTGAAACGTATGCTTGCCGAGAAAAAGCGACAAGAAAATGAAGTAAGCAATAAATGTGATAACGTTATACTTAGGCTACTATCATGAGAAATAACGGCCTTCTATGAAACGTTCCTTCCTTGAAATACATCTTGTTGAAAAACAGAAAGATATGGTATCAGGCCTATACATGTTATACTAGCCGCTTGAGCTTAGTTGTATTTTTATTTTGAAGGAGTTAAAATTAGAAAAGACAAAACGCTCCACCGCAAGTCTTAGTTACTGTATATCAGTATACAGTATAGCTCAAGCTGTGAATTAAACTAAAATCAATTTTATAGAAACTGAACCAACTGGATGAGGAATTCTATAAGGATCTCAAAACTAAACAAGAGAGGCAAAAGCTGACCGAAGAGGATCTTCAGCAATTGATCAAGGAGCACCTGTCAAGAACAGAAAAGTTAAAGCATTCAAGGGCCCTAGAGAGAGACTCACACCAGGTATGCAGACCTATGCAGCCCCAGATCGTGCTTCTATGTGAGAAATGGGGAGCAAAAAAGTCACATCTTTTATTTACTAGTATCTAGGGTCAATTTTGAAGGTTAATCTCATTGATGTAAATTGTCTTCAATGTTGTCCAAATTAATTGCAATGAAGTAATTTGATCCAGATGAGCAGTCATATTTTGACATTGTTTTTTATTTCTGTAGCGTAAACTTGAGGCGAAGTTAGCAGAGCGAAGAAGGAAACAAAAGCAAACCAATCAAGAAGCAGAACAGCAGAAACAAATAAAGATGTCTAAAAGACGAAATAGAAACAATTCAGATGATGAACGTTAATGATCTAACAGTGGCTCGGCCCACGGGGCTCAGCATTTCATGGTCTTTGGTACAACATATTGGACATTCAAAATATTGACATTTAAAAACGTTATACTGAATGAGGACCATGACTGAATTATTAGTGTAATAAAATAAAAAGCTAATAAAATAGAATTTGAATTTTAAAACTAATACCCTTTTAACTGTGAAGCCTCAGCTCGCATTTTCTTCAATTTTGAACCAAATTGTTACCAAATTGTTATGGCGGCCGTAAAATTGCCATGGTCAAATGCCAATGGCGTAACTACATGAACGCAAAGTACGCACACGGGTAGCATACACTCAACGTTCACACCAATGGCGCTTTGATGGCGCTTTAAAGCGGCTTGTAAAGCGGCACCAAAGCGTAACGAAGCTTGATTAAAGCGGCGGGGTCGTAATAGGTCTTTGAAAAGCTCGGAGTAAAGCGGGATATTCGGCAAGAGCGCCAAAAAATTTTAAAGCTACGTTCACACCAACGGCGAATGCCACGCTTTAAATCGGCGAGCAAAGCGCCGTCATTTTTGTCATTTTTGTTCATACCAACGGTGCTTTGATGGCGCTTTAAAGCGGCTTGTAAAGCGGCACCAAAGCGTAACAAAGCTTGATTAAAGCGTCGGGGTCGTAATAGGTCGTAGAAAAGCTCGAAGTAAAGTGGGATATTCGGCAAGAGCGCCAACAAATTTTAAACTGTTCAAAAATTTTGGGCGCTCTGTTACGAATTGATTAAAGCGCCGAGAGCGTATCAAAGCTTAACAAACCATAACAAAGCTCAGAAAAGCTTGATCCAAAGCGTAGGAAAACAAAGCTCTAATAGGTTCCTCACGCTTTGATCCCGCTTTGACCAGGCTTTGTTACGCTTGAAATCACGCTTTGATAAGCTTTGATAAGCATTATTACGCTTTGAGGCGATTATGACGCTTTAAATCAGGCTCTGATACGATTGCCAAGCTTTGGTGTGCATTGTTACGCTCTGTTAAGTTTTGTCAAGCATTGGAAAATGTCGAGATCGACGATTTCATGCCGCTTTTGATCCAATTACTATATAGAGATGCAGTAGATCCATAAAACCATTGCATCTTTGACTCGAGAACACGATGGCAGAACAACAAGATCCAGAAATTCCAGATGGACCAGAGCATGACCTATCTAAAGAAGACATGATGTTTGTCGCACGGCGTGATATAGCGTGTGGAAACTTGTCAAGTGTAACAAAGCCTAGCAAAACGTTTCAATCCTTGATTAAAGCGTCTCAATACGTTGGAAAGCTTGAGAGTCCTTCATGAAAGTGTAACAAAGAGTGTCAGATATTGATGAAAGCGTCTGACCTCGTGTCAGATCTTCATGCCAAATCGTAGCAAATCTTGAGACATCTTAACGAAGCGTGTCAAGTGGTAATAGACCGTGAAGAGACTGGGGTCCCCGCTTTGAGCCAAGCTCTGTTAAGCTTTCCTACGCTTTGGGTCAAGCTTTGTTGAGTTCTGTTACTGTTTTTTAAGCTTTGATACGCTCTCGGCGCTTTAATCAATTCGTAACAGAGCGCCCTCCGAGCTTTTCCACGACCTATTACGACCCCGACGCTTTAATCAAGCTTTGTTACGCTTTGGTGCCGCTTTACAAGCCGCTTTAAAGCGCCATCAAAGCGCCGTTGGTGCGAACGTAGCTTGAACAGTTTAAATTTTTAGTGCTCTTGCCGAATATCCCGCTTAACTCCGAGCTTTTCTACTACCTATTACGACCCTGACTCTTTAATCAAACTTTGTTACGCTTTGGTGTCGCTTTACAAGCCGCTTTAAAGCGCCATCAAAGCGGCGTTGGTGTGAACCTAGCTTCAACTGTTTAAAAATTTTGGGCGCTCTGTTACGAATTGATTAAAGCGCCAAGAGCGTATCAAAGCTGAACAAACCGTAACAAAGCTCAGAAAAGCTTTACCCAAAGCGTAGGAAAGCTTAACAGAGCTTGGTTCAAAGCGGGGACCCCAGTCTCTTCACGGTCTGTTACCACTTTACACGTATCGTTAAGATGTCTCAAGGTTTGCTACGATCTAGCATGAAGATCTGATACGAGGTCAGACGCTTTCATCAATATCTGACACTCTTTGTTACGCTTTCATGAAGGACTCTCAAGCTTTCCAACAAATTGAGACGCTTTAATCACGGGGTACCATCGAATAATTTTGGCAACGTACCGGAGAACGACATTTTACTTAGAAATGGCAATAATTTAGCACAATATATTTTTTAACTAGAGTTCTATTTTGATTTTGACAAAAGTAAGTATTCCATGCAATAACTATTTCATTCATGAGTTTGTAGGAATTCTGTTGGAACCCAGTTCTGATCAAGTACGAAGTTATTGAAATCGGCGCAGACGGACTTTACTCCGAAAGATGGTTTTTCGATTATAACTTTTCACAACATTTAAGTATAGACTTTTGAAAAAAGTACAGAATAGTCCTTATACTTTTGAATAATTCTGTTATTTCTGATTCACACGACTCTGATTTGTTTAATTAAAAAAAAGTCTTAAAAATATTACTTAGGAACGTAACCGGAGCTGGGAACGTAACCGGAGCAGATCAGTTGAATTATTTAATCAAAAAAATTAAAATATATGATTTAAAGCACATACTAATTTAAAAACATACGGGATTGTTCGAATGCGTATTTATTAATATATATGCTTTAAATCATATATATTTTATTTTTTTGAATTATATAATTCAACTGATCTGCTCCGGTTACGTTCCCAGCTCCGGTTACGTTCCTAAGTAATATTTTTAAAACTTTTTTTTAATTAAACAGAAGTTAAATTAATAATCACTGAAATTATACCGATACATATATACTTTCTCAAAATCTGAGTTTACTGAGTTTAAATATCGCTTAAACCTGGCAAATATGCGTTGTTTTCATAATTTGAGCTAGAACCATATGATAATTTATCTCATAGAACTTTCTCTTTATCTCATAGAACTTTCTCATTCTTCTGATGGGCCCTCTGATGGGCTTAGATTACGATGAAGTAACTATTTCACTAGTCTATCAGTGGCGGATCAAGCAATTAACAAGGGGGGGGGGCAGGCCCGTAGCCAGGGGGGGGCCCCCTGATATCTCCTAAAAAAATGTGGACCTACCTTTTTGCTTCCTTGAAGAAAAACTTGTTCTTCCCCACATTCACTGGGCAATTAAGATTAAAAAAACTGGCATTAATGTGCATTGTTTTTCGAATTTGGGCATTATTTTTCATAATTTGGCCCAATTTTTTTCGCGGACATATTTGTCCCCCTTTCAATCTGATTTTTTTAGGATCATCCTTTGTGTTTTGTTAAACATAGCCTTCTGGCGGTTCCAGGGGGGGGGGGGGCATGGGGGCATGGGGGCGCCCCCCTAGGATGGGCCCGGAAAAAAATGTTGGTCCAAAAATATTGAAAGGGCCTCTTTAGTCAAGGGAAAGATCAATACCCGGTGATTTCAGCGGGAAGTGGCGTTTCGTTCAGTGGATGAGCGCACGCATAAATGTGATTATCCAATATAATTAGGGTATTAATGTAGGCTATAAGCACAGTGACCTACAGAGGGCGCTATCACAAACAAGTACTGCACGAACCGATAAATTCCCGGGTATTGTAACGCCCTTGCTTTAGTGGGCCTTTTTGGGCATAACTTGACCCTTTTTGGGCCTTATTTTTTCAATTTCAGGCCAAATTTAAAAAAGGGCTATAAATTTTCAAAATTTTGACCCGAATTTTGGCATTAGGGCCCGAAAAAATTTTACGCACGCCCATCGTATGGCCGCCATACGATGGGCCCAGAAAAAATGTTGGCCAAAAATATTGTGGCCTCTTTAGTAGGCCTCTTTGGGCATTAATTGACCTTTTAGGCTTTATTTTTTTCAATTTAAGGACAAATCTTCAAAATACGGGGTCATAAATTTTCAAAATTTTAGAGCCCTAAAAATTTTACGCGCGGCCCTAGGATGGGCCTAGAAAAAAAGGTTGGGCCAAAAATATTGTAGGGCCTCTTTAGTTGGCCTTACTTGACCTTTTTACTTGACCTTTTTGGGCCTTATTTTTCAATTTTGGACCAAATTTTCAAAAAACGGACCATAAATTTTCAGTTGGTTCTAGGGCCCTAAAAGGTTTTCCGCGCGGCCATAGGATGGGCCCAGAAAAAAATGTTGGCCAAAAAATATTGTAGGGCCTCTTTAGTGGGATTTTATGGGCATTACTTGACCTTTTTGGGTTTTATTTTTTCAATTTTTAGGCCAAATTTTCAAAGAACGGGCCAAAAATTTTCAGAATTTTGGCCAAAATTTGGGTTTTAAGGCTCTAAAAAATTTTCTGCGCTACCCTAGGATGGCTCCAGAAAAAAATATTGGCCCAAAAATATTGTAGGGCTTCTTCAGTTGGCCTTTTTGGGCATTATTTGACCTTTTTGGGCCTTATTTATTTCAATGTAAGGCCAAATTTTCAAAAAACGTGCCATAGATTTTCAAATTTTGCCTTAAAACCAAAACTTGGGCCTAAATTTTTGAAAAGTAAGGCCCATTTTTGATAAATTGGCTCAAAAGGACTAAGAAGGCCAAATTATGTCCAAAAAGGCCCATTTTTAATGCACCCTACACCCAAAACCTAAAAAAAATTCTGGGCCCACTAAGGGGAGGGGGGAGGGCATTTGCCCCTCGGATCCACCATGTATTAAGAAATCCGGCAAAAGACCATTGTGCAATGATAAATGGAAAATTGTATTTAAATTGTAAAGAATTAACATTTGTAGATTGCCAGTTCTGGTTTCAGGGTTTGGCTATTCATTCATGGACTTCTCTGAATTAGACATAATGAATTATCAAACTTAAATATTAATAAATCTCCAGGCCCTGATGGTTTCCACCCCCGCCCCCTTAAGGAAGCTGCACAATCCCTAATCACCCCCCTCACAATACTATATAACAAGTCTATGAAAACTGGTATTTTGCCCCAAGACTGGAAAAATGCCAATATCACACCTATATATAAAAAAGGAAGTGAAAAAACAAAACAAAATATAACCAACAGAAAGAAAAAGCCAAGCAACTATAGGCCAATCAGTTTAACCTCCATAATAGTGAAGATGCTAGAAAAGATTGTACGAAATGAAATAGTAGAACACCTACTTCAAAATGAAATTCTGAGTTATGACCAATTTGGCTTCGTGCCAAATAGATCCACCATCCTTAATCTCTTAATTTATCTTGAAGATATTACCAAAGACCTCGACAATGGAAAGCCAGTGGACATAATATACACAGATTTTAGCAAAGCGTTTGATAGTGTTCCGCATGAACGCCTGCTCTTAAAACTGAAATCGTATGGAATTCAAGGAACAATACTCACATGGATAAGATATTTTCTAATTAATAGATTTCAAAGAGTACTAGATATAGTAAATGGAGAAGCGTCAGAATGGGCCCCTGTTGTATCAGGTATCCCTCAAGGGACCTGCCTTGGGCCATCCCTATTTTCTATCTTCATAAATGACCTCCCAGATGCTACAAAGAACAAAATATTAATGTACGCAGATGATGCTAAACTGTATGGTTGTGTACAAAACCAGGAAGACAAAAAACAATTACAATCGGACTTAGATAAAATGACAAAATGGTCAAAAGATTGGCAACTCCCCTTTAATACTGACAAGTGTAAAGTAATGCACTTAGGAAACAAAAATGATAATCAGGAGTATACCATGGACAATAAAACCCTACAACAGACAGTGTTAGAAAAAGATCTTGGAATCAACATAGACAATCAACTTAAGTTTCATAAACATATCGACATACAAGTAGCCAAGGCAAATAGCATCCTCGGATTAATAAAAAGGACATTTTCTCATCTGGACAAAACTACCCTACCACTTCTCTACAAATCCCTCGTTAGACCCCACCTTGAGTATGGAAATAGTATATGGAGTCCTTATACAAATATAGACATCATTAAAATTGAAAAAGTACAAAGAAGAGCTACCAAGTTAGTACCAACCTTAAAAGACTTAAGCTACTATGATAGGATGAAACAACTAAAACTCCCCTCCCTCCAATATAGAAGAACTAGAGGTGACCTAATACAAGTATTCAAGATAGTGAATGGTTATGACAGAATCAAACTCATGGACATTGCACAAAAATCAGAAAATAAGATGACGAGAGGGAATACAGAAAAATTAAGCCACAGATATAGCAGACTCGATGTAAGAAAAAATGTATTTGGAAATAGAATCGTCAACACATGGAACAATCTTCCCCAATCTGTAATAGACACCACAGATATAAATCAATTCAAGAATGGAATTGACACTAGCACCTGATGAGACAGAAATTCCTTCACCACAACTAACCCATGTCCAGTGAGCAATTAAACAACGCCCCCCTTAACATGATATGAAAATAATACATAAAAAGATCTGGATTATACAGGACTATCCTTCTTCCAGAATTATAGATATAGATATAGATATAGAAGTCCAATGGGCTAATAAAATGTGTATCTCATGCGGGGGCCCATGGCCTGTTTTTATATGTTTTTTTTGTATGTCGTGCAAAGTTTCCCGTTCTCCTAGCATTTGTTCAGTCCAATCGTACCTCTTTCCCTTACCTCTTACCTCATATTGCAAATTTCGCGGGAAATTTACTTAAAATCTAATGTTTATGTCACGTGACTATTTCTACTTCCGGTTGCAAGGTGTTGAGAAATTTGAAAAATAAATTATAGTAAAAACAACGTATTCGATGAGCTGACGAAGTAAGTAATTCTAAGTGATAACGAAATATTGATTTATTTAAATTCAATAATTAGAAGCATCTCTTGTGTATATCATATAATGACTATGTTCTCGTCTAAATGTTTTATTGAGCCGCTTGGGATTTTTTTGAAAAGTAGACCACTGATTGACTGAATAATCTACTTTTTCATACATTCTATAGAATTATCAACACTCAATTAATAATCAAGGTACACTAATGCACATCTTGTGCAAAAATGAAAGATGTAGACCATGTTTGGAATGAGTTATGTTTATCTGGAAATAGCACATGGCCATAAGTTACTTCCTGCGAAAGCTATTGGATTTTGATATAATAGCTTTCCCACGGAGCATTTTGACAGCTCCATGATCGTGACCTTTGAAATCGAATTAAGTCGATCCGCGGCTTACTTTTGGTCTCTAACTGTGTCTTACATCAGTATCATCAATCCGTGTAAGTATCGGAGCGCTGGAGTACTTCTTTTTCGATCAAGACTTGTAATTGTCAGTCGAGTGAATCGTTTTACTGCCAAATTCCAATATGGCGGTTTCTGCTCGGACATTTTCGTAAATCTCCGGAGGTTGTCCGAACCTAACTAATTCTCAAAATTCATTTCGTTCGTTGCGTATCTCGCACCTAGCAAACCGCCATATTGGAAATAGGTCTAAAAAACTTTCACTCGATGAACAATTTACAAGTCTTGATCGAAAAAGAAGTACTCCAGCGCTCCAATACTTACACGGATTGATGATACTGATGTAAGACACAGTTAGAGACCAAAAGTAAGCCGCGGATCGACTTAATTCGATTTCAAAGGTCACTATTGATGAGCTGTTCACTTCTCCGTTTGAGAGCCATAAGTTTCAAAATCTAACATGGCTCTCGAAGTGAGTAAGCCATAAGATTTCATCAAAGTACAGGATGAGCCAAAAAAGGTAACCCAAACAAATGATTATAACTCCATCTTTCAACATGGATTTGAAATCATATTTGGTACAATTCAGGCCTGTCAACTGTCCCGCAATTTGCGTATTTGTCACGCATTTGCTGAAGAATTTGAAGTCACGCCAGTTTTTTTTGCGTGACACAAAATGTCACGCAAATACGCATTTTACCTGGTAATTGTCACGCAAATATGTTTCTGTAAAAATTTTTTCAAAATATGTTTATGATACGGTAAAAATACGAACGTCGGAAAAAAACGAACGCAATTTGTTCGGATTTGTCACGCGAATCCGGTATATGTCACGCATGTTCATTGGAAATTTTCGTACCTACCCCCCCCCCGTTGATGATACCGCGAGCGTAGTGAGCGCGAAAAATTTGAGGTTATAAAAGTTTAGCAAAGGTGCTCAAACTTTGGCCAAAGGTGTTTAAAAGTTGGCCAAAGGTGTTCAAAATTTGGACAAAAGTGTTCAGATTTGGACTTCGGTGTCCAACATTTGTAAGTCACTCATATTAGGTGGTCCCAAGTTGACAGCCCTGACAATTGAACCTTGTTCAATGTTCATTCATTCTTCTATAAGTTTCTTTGGTCTATTTTTAATGGTCACAATTTTATGGCCAAACATGCATACGTGATTATCGCATCCTACGACCCCTTTAGATTGTGGTCGTACGCGCATATAGTTCGTCAGTCAATGTTTTTACAAAGTTGGAGAAAATACTACGCATTGCACACCTAAATGACCTACCTCGATACATTCCTTAGTATTTTAGAATTCTTTTTATGTTGTTAGATCGCCAATTGTATGGGTTTATCGGCAGAACGAAGAGATTTTAGTTTTTACATCGGAAATATATCAGCAATTTTCAAAATGTCGGAAGGGGAATTCCCCAGGGATTTCCCTTATGACTTGTGCATGCCGGGAACTGAATGGAGGAATTTGACGGTTGAAATAAGTTAAATATTACACGCAAATATTGCTATCAAAAACGAAAACCTCTTCGTTCTGCTGATAAACTCACACAATTGTTGATTCAACTACACGAAAAGAATGCTAAAATAACAAGGAATCTATTGAAATAGGTATCTTAGGGATGCAGTACCAGGTCAGCGTAGAAAAAGTTCCAGACATTAGATTTTGCTCATATTTTTTACAATGTATCACTATGATGTTATCATCATCCAAGTGCAATATGAAGAGGATTGACCGTCTGGTAATTACAAAATAAAAAAATTATTTTACCCACCCAAAATGAATCTTTTTACTTTTTTGAGTTTTCAATAGAGCTGGCACCTTTCGAACCCTGGTTTTCGTATCCACTAATTGCGACTCAAGAACAAGTTTTCCCATAAAAGTGAAAGGGATAAAATATGCTTGATAAAATGTTTGCAATTTAATTCTTTTCTGGAAACACCATTATCAAAATAAACTATAATTTTTGAATAAGACTAAATGCGAAAATGACGTTCTTGGGAGCTAGCTTTCTCAAACCGGAAGTCAAACCTGCGCAAACAGACGTGAAAACCGACCCGGTACTGCATCCTTAAGTGTAAGAAGCGTAGAAAATTCTCCCATGTTGTAATCGAACAGACAAAAGAATAAGACGTTCGCAAGACTAGAACGTAGAGATAGTCTTGGAACGAGATAACATACGTGATAGGGATGTAAACCCTCATTCATCCAGAACCCCCCTTTCTTTATAAAACAAACCCCCAGCCAGGAACAACCCCCTTTTCTGAAAGATCAACAAACCAAAGGCCAGGAACGAATCCCACTCTCAGAAAGATGACTATTTTTCCCTGAACAATGAATCACACATTTATACTAGCTAGTTAATGAGTGTGTATACTATATTCTGTAATTTGATTGGTTTGTTGAAACTGCTGCCATCTTGCAACCCCTCCCCTCATCCCCTTTGCCTTGAAACCCCCTCCCTTCTTCACTATAAAACGAACACCCAGGCTTGAGAAAAATTGAACCCCCCATGGTAAATCCTGGCTATGCCTTTGGAGAAGCATTTGAGAGTTGAAACAAAAGATAAGAATTATGGCTATAGGTATTTTTTGAACATGTAAACTGGTAAACAGAACAACTTCACCTGATGTGTTCAAATTAACCTCCACAGATGAGACTTGTCTTTTGAGGATGCTTTGTAAAATAGCCATAAAATCGTGGTCATTTGAAGTAGACCAATGAATCTTAGTAGAATAAAAGAACATTAAACAAAGGTTCAATTGTGCCAAATATGATTTAAAACCCATGCTGAAAGACTGACTTATTAACATTTGTTTGGGTTACCTTTTTGGCCCACCCTGTACAATGTACATACTGTCCTAATCACAAGCTTGATCGATCTTGATTACCACAGATACTATCCAAAACAAATCTAACTGCACTACTGGACCGATGCCATACCACAAGTGTGACTGAGGTAAGGTATCTTCTAGGACCATTCTCATACTAGAAAGCAGGAAAGTCTGACCATTGCCATATCTCAGAAGTCATACATTTCGGGACATTCTCATACCAGATCTTAAAATTTGGGTCTATTGCCATACCAAATGTTAAAAAAGATAACCCACATGTGCTGAGGATCCTTGCAAGCTTTATACAATGAACCCACTGCACTGGGAGCCTAACCATTTCCTCTCTAATTTGGATGCTATTATTTGGGTGTATGGAAAAGATCTCAAAGGGTCACAACAGCCCCCAAATGCAATAAAATGCCAAATACCAAGATATTGACCTTTGACCTTGGAATGACCTTGACCCATAAAGTTGACCTTGACCTCGGGTCACCTAATCATTGGTCATCGATGGTCACAGCACAGACCAAGGGTCTTGAAAAGCCAACTTGATAGTTGGATACATTTTAATCACGACCTTGTAAAGCTATTTTCTTCCTCTAATTTTGCATCTATTCATCTTTATTTATGTAAAAGACTGACACCCGACCACCAACCACGTAGAGAGTGACTGGGTGGTGGTTTGTCTTTTCCTTTATACCCCTGTTATCTGGCACAGTTCCTGACATCTATCTAGTATTCCAACCAGGAATAGCAGACTTTCAAGTTGTTTTACTTTAAAGTGCAAACCTTTCGAGGTAATGAACCTCTAGAGGTTCAACTTTAAAGAGATAGGTTATTTATGAATTCTAGGGCATACCCCCTCTTAAGTAGTTCTTGTAGGCTAACAGGAGGAAATATACCCCATAGTTCTAGATGAACCTATTGTCATGTAGAACTTCATCAAGAACTTAGAGATGAACCTACCTCCGTGTGAAAATTAACAAACTAATCTAAAATCTCTGCAGTAGTGTTGTCATCCTGACTCTACCTGTACGACTACAGTTATGGTCAAAACTTTGACTGTCAACTTACTAGTCAGGGCTGCCTATGGATATGCAGAAAAGACTTACCATCAGGTTTACCACTGACCCCCGAACAGTCACATACCACAGTTGGCCAGTTGGTTTACATGGTGGTTCTTTCACAAAACAATAAACAAATACTCTATTCTTATACATTTTCAATAAGGGGCAAATAATGGCATGCATATATTTCAGGCAAAATCACAATGGGTGCTTTGTTTCCAGGTGTTTTCTTATTTATGATAACAGTAGGACAATGGAGATCACATTTCTTGGAACAGGATCTGCTTATCCTACACCAACACGTGGTGCTTCTTGTATAATCTTCCGAAATGGTAAGATATATAGCCATATATTGCACAACGATTGAGTGTATTCAATATAAAGGATTTGAGATCAAGGCTCAATGATCTGATTGATTTAAATTCCCACATAGCTTGGTAAAGTTTGTCCAATTCCAGCCAATCCAAACACAGTATTTTCACCTGACAGCAGTGCGTGAAATTATCAATAACGCATTCTTGATGAGGGAGCTGGACTCACTGAACTTTGCCAATTTGACCCTTGCAAAAAGTTTCAGCGAAAACCTGTTGTTTTAGTGATTTTATATCTTTTAAATGACATGGAAGAACATATTTTACAATGTGTGAAAAGAATTTAAGCCCAAGACTCAATGCATTGTGGAATGACCATCCATTCAGGCGTTGTTTCCTAAAATTAACACTCGATGCTAAGCATTTCATGCAAATTTTGGCAAGCAATACCTTCAAGAAATGGTCATTCAACAATGCACTGAGTCAAAGGCTTAAATCCTTAAATATATGGTTCTTGTATAAAGATTAAATCAAGGCTGATAGGCCAAGTTATGGGTATCATAGAATAAATGAGAGCATTAAATGAGCAACAATTCACTGAGTTCTGGGCTTATTAATTCTACACAAGGCAAAACATTTTTAATAACATTTCAAATTAAAAAAATGATTTGTTCTATTCATTGCTCAACCTATGTTTCACTCAGCCAGAGTCATATAAGCCCCCCCCCCATATAATAACAGACTACATGCTATCATATTGTCTCTGACTGAGCCATGTATAATTACAGTACCTTATTGGCTAATCTTTAATGATCACATTTTTTATCGCACAAGGTCATTGTTTTTTCTTCCATTTTAGCATTAACATATGTCCTAATATAGGCGCTGTTGGTAACCTTGGTATCACATGAAAATCCATGGTATTGTTAGACCCTTTACATCACCGTACTGTCTAATTTGAAGTTTTTATAAAATAAATCATCTGAAACAGAAAACTTATTGAAGATTGTCTGACAATGCCCCATGTCTTACAATGCCCCTATGTACTCTAATTAGGAGAGGACCTAACACATGTGTGAGTCTTGTGTCCAATTCTTTTTGTTTGCCTCAATTTAAACTTTGATATGAACATATTGTTAACATTAGTTGAATAAAATATTTTTCATGAAAAATTGTTCCGCTTTTACAGTTTTCCTTATCAGCCATGCATTGTAGCAGGACCCTTCCATGTTCTTGTGTGTCTAGCTATACATGAATACTTGTTAAGGTTTTTAATGGAAATACAAAAAATACTAAATGCTGTTGTCTTTATTTTAGATGGTAACTACTGGATGTTTGACTGTGGTGAGGGATCTCAAATCCAACTCATGCGAAGCTCAATAAAACCTGGAAAAATCAGCAAAATATTTGTCACCCATCTCCATGGTGACCATGTAAGCGAAAATATGTTTATTTATTCAAATATCAGAATTAAATGTGTAGAGGCAAACAATCTTATAACCTCAGTGTTAATGAGATTGTGATAATGATTCCAGAAAGGTGAGGGCAGGGGGGGGGGGTGTTGCACATTTTTTATTTGTGCCCAAGAGCATGATTTGGGATACTGGGGATGATTCAAGATACTAATATTCAAAAACTATGATTTATTATTCTTATACCACTCAGTTATTTTCAGAGATAAAGTCTATAGTTCTTTATTATCCCTTCAAACCAAGTTCGGTGGGATATAAGGAACGCCTCTGTCCATCCTACCATATGTCCATCCGTATGGTGACCTTTACACAATATTTATAATTTTTGCTGTTATGTGTTTTTTACATTTTTTACTATGACTCAAAAAGTAATAGAGCAATTTTTTTCATATTCAATATGTGAATAAGCATGGCACACTGTCTTATGACACTATGGCTATTTGAATGTATGTGTGCAATTTTGTTGAAATTTTATATTTGCCTACTTTGAAGCATATTATATTTTTTTCTTATTTTGACAATTTGGCTAATGAGCGACCATTTTGAAAATTGTGGCCGTTTTATGTGTGTTATTTTGAGATTTTGGCTATAACTGCAAAAACTAGAAGAATATTGTTAAAATGGGACAAGACTCAAAGTCCAAAAATTAGCCGTGGTGCTAAGATAATCACACATATTATTAATTTGAAAAAAATTAAACTTCTGACATTGCAATTAATAGTGCAAGCAATAAAAATTTTACTTGTTACAAATACATAAAACAAAATGATTTATTTATCAGAGCTTTATGTAACTGCACATGGAGGATGAGTTAACGTTTATATATAAGCATGCGGGCGTTGGAATAGTAAAGAAACTGTTTAGGACATGTAGGAAGGGAGACATTTTTTGGTCAATATCTTTCAATAGTCTACCATTCTGCCTATTCTACCACTCTGCTTCTTCATAAACACATTTACAGTTTCCTTGAAAAACTATTGGATTTAGAATTTTAGGCCAAGTGTGTTTGCTTGCACCCCCTGAACCAACCCCCCCCCCTCCCCTAGCTTCGGGCCTGAGAGGCAAGCAGAGGTAAATGTGATGATTTACAATAACAAAATAGAGGCCTCATATAAGATGGCTAAAGGAAGATCTGATAGTGCAGAAAGGATAATGAAAGATTATAATCTCAGCATTACATAGTTCAACAACAATATCATTTATTGCTACATGTATGTATTTATCAAAACTATATGTGTACTATATGTACATGTTGAATATAATAAAATATAAGTCATTAACATAAAAAGCATAAAAATGTCAGCACCTGCTAAGCCAGTGATCTCCCCAGAATTAAAGCAAGTGGGCGCAGCACCTAACTGAGATTTTAAACACAGGCTTGCACCCACCTAAAATCCATTTGTACCCACTTGAAAATGAGAAAAATCATGAAAAATGAGCAAAAGTCTCGGTTTGGAGAATGAAGTTCATCAGGCTACTGCATGTTACGGCTGCTTTGAACAATTTTGATATTTTTACATATTGTAGATATGAGTGTCCCCTTTTGAATATCCATAATTTATTTTGCGTGTTTTTCTATGTTTTTCATTAAAAAATTAATAGCGCATTAGACTGATCAACTTTGTTCTCCAAACTGAGACTTGTCTTATTGAATCGGTCTACTGCACATTACGCCTGCTGTGGACAATTTTGATATTTTTATATTGTAGATTTAAATGTCCTCTTTTGAATATTCATAATTTAATTTGGATGTTACTTCTCTATTTTTCATCAAAAATTTATTAGCCCAGTAGACTGTTCTCCAAACTGACACTTGTCATTTTGACCGAGTTCGTATTTAAATGGTAAAAATGAGAATTTTGCATCCACTTGAGAAAAAACCTGTGGAGAACACTGTTAGCTATAACAAATGGTTACAAAAGTGTACCAATTTGTTACAGATTTCATTCAGTGATACTGGATTCCTGAATTCATTGGAGACCCCATATTACAATGTTTATAGTCCTACCTATCAATGTACAGAATGTGGGGCCAATTATCATTTTGTAGACATTAAATTGTCATGTTGGATCAAAAGGCTGATAGTCACCATATTCAGTGAGATAGTTATCACATTTCTATGGCTTGTTATGAAGAGATGTGAGTGTGACGCTACTGTCTACAGGTATATACACTATCTTCACTGGTGGGGTAGGTGCACAGCATGTCGCTTTACATGTCAGACCTGAAGCTACAATACAGATGACTGCAGCTGCTAGAGACAGTAGCATTAATGTGCAATGCAATGCAGCCGCTCTCGTATGAAGTGCGTGATCTTTCTTAATGCGCCTCCAAGCAACTGTTTCATTAAATTTTGGGTGTATGTAGCAGTACACATCATCCTTCCATTCATAATTATGGGTGCAGTTATAGTTTGTTACAGATTCATGGTTCATATGTGAGAGGCCATTACCTTCGACATGAATTCCAATCCCATGGTGCATAATAAATAAGCAAGAGATCACAGTCGTGATTATCGTTAGCACCATCAGGGTGATAATGAATGGTTTGGTGTTGCGTTTTGCTGCAAAAATCCCGATGATACCTGTTACAATCATGAATATTGCTAAGATATAGTCAGGGATCGCTTTAAAAAATGTGAATGTCCTCTCGCCGTCAACTACGATTCCTAAGATAATGACGAGAGTGCCACATATGATGAGTAGCACTGCAAGAATAAGAGCTTTTTTGTCCAACCAGGCTTTGTTACGTGCTTCTGCATTGGATTCTCCATCACCCATCTCTAGGGATTTATCAGATGTCCCATTGTCTGATGTAGCTGGTGGAACCTCATTAGACATCAACCCATACTTGTTGTTTTTCATCATTTTGACAATTTTGCAAATTATTCAGATACTATATTACTGTTTTTCACTTAGCTTGATTGTAGTATTTTGTCTTCTAATACCTGTATTGGTCTCTGAAGTGTTTTCTACAAAATGCCAATCTCTGCTGTATATATTTTGTCATTTCCTTTGCAAGTTTGAAGGCTGTTATGGATCCAAGACTCCACTTAGTGACTTTTATTTAGAATAGAATTGTGCGTCACTGACATCTACTTGTTGTTGTTGTTCACTCCATATGTTTTCAATGATTTTAGTATGTAAATGGAGAACTTCAAGATGTGAATCATTTAAAGGCTATTGTTTTTGATGTTTGGGTATCTTGGTTCAAAAAAAAAATTTTTCCAAACATTGACATAATTTTGAATATTTTTTGTAATATGTCTTACTAATGTAACCTGTGACAGTTGTTACACTTTTTTCATTTTTGAGATACAGATGTGGTCTTTGATTTTCTAATTAGTTTTAAAAGAGGACTTTTGGTACTAGAATTGGTTTTCAAAATGTTACCAAATTGTCAGTATTGATTAGATAGTATTGATTTTCAAACAATATCTTGAAATGAGGGGTTACACACTGAACGACATGTCTCTTTAAACTTAATAAGTAAATGTGTTTTTGGAAATCAATGTTGTGAACGTAATATTACCCTTTAAGAATTCAAACTTTTTATGCCATTCAGTTGCTCAAGACATGATATACGAGTATGGATGGGAACAAGTTGAACCAGACAGTAAAATACCCTTCAAGAAAACACACATTATCTTGGACTATATGACATTTCTCTAAACTACTTTATATATATACTGACTTCATTATGGGAACCAATATCATTTCATGTTTTTGAACACTAACATTTTGTTTTCTGGTACAATAGTGGCATATTACGTCAACGATGTATTTCTCCATTTAAATGTTGTATGGGAAAAGCTTGTTTATAATTATATGAATAGAGAAAGGAAGTCCTACTTATGGAACTATGTCATTTGAGAAAAGGACTGCGTCAAACATTTGGTTTTGTTTATTTTTTTGTTTGAGCAAATCAGGTCATGTGAATCCTATTGAAGAGGCTTTTGTTGATTTTTAAAAGGTCAGTATCTTTAAGGAAGTCCTATATTTTGGAACTATTTCATTTGAGAAAAGAACTGTGTCAGACATTTGTTTTTGTTTATTTTTCGTTTCGTTTGGGTAAATCAGGTCATATGAATCCTATTCAAGAGTGTTATCTTGATTTTAAAAGTCCAGTATCTTTAAATGTGGTGTTATTTTATATAAATTAATTGGTAGAAAAAATGATGAAATCAGATTGTTGATATGTGAATGGGCTTTTTAGCGCTTAAGGGTGTCTAGCAAATAAGGAGGCACCTCCTTTATATCTAAATGACATACATGTACATGAACATAATCCAAAAGTGAAATGGTAATACAGTGTTCTCCCCAGGATTTTTTCTCAAGTGGGTGCAAAATTTTAAGCAAGCTGTTTTTAAAATCTCAAGTGGGTGCTGCTCCCATTTGCTTTAATGATGGGGAGATCACTTTAATATAATGACAGAATTGTGTTACTATGGCAACAGAATGCAGGCATATAGGTGAAACTGTTCTGTTTTCAAAACATTTTCTTCTGTTCCAAAGTGTGGGGTTACATGCACCAGCTGCCAGTATAGTACAAGATATATGCTTCCAAAACCAGAAATGCCTCTTTAACACAGAAATTCAATATGCGCTAACCAAGAATGTTACTATAGTAATGAGTGGATGTATGAAAGGAACAGCATTTAGAAAACCTGATAATTTCCATTTTCGCAGAATAAGAAACATTTTGAATGACATAAATTGACATGTATAGAAGCTGCCAATCTTAAGAATGGAATAAATACATTGACATCATAGCAAATTTTTCCTTACGCTCTTTCATCTCGTCCTAGAGTCGTTTGCGTCATTTGGGTATATTATTTACATATATTTTCCAGATGTTCTTGGGTTTATGTTCTTTAAAGACCCCATGTGCAGAATTAAAAAATTATTTTTATCAAATAAATTTTGTTTTTCATGATTATTTAAATAGTTTTAAACATTCAATTTAGGTTGAATTTCATACCAATTTAAACAACAAGAGCTCAAAAAATCTACAGAGCCGTTAAAGTACATGTACTTAGTATGTATATGCACATAGTATGGGAATCCATTTCTGCATTATTTCCAGCTATTTGGGCTCCCAGGCCTAATGTGTACAATAAGTCAGAACTGCCCAGACCACAGTGAACCCATTGAGCTGTATGGACCACAGGGCTTGAGGTAGGTATACCCTGGATCCCAGCATATTGCCGTATTACCCTCTGACTATTGCAGAAAGTTTTATAGATTCAATCTTTTAGGAAATTAAATTTGTGAGTGTAAGGAACTTATAGAGGGAAATGCAGTTGTATGATTTTTAGACTATGTTTTCTGATTGGAAAGTGGAAAGATGAAGTCACACATACGTAGGATGGGTCCCAATATGCAGGCCTGATTTGAACAATTCATAATTGCCTGTTTAGCTATCTTGAAGCAAAAGATACTGCTATAAGGACCACCAAAATATAAAACAGGGAAATCTGTTAAATCAAATTAATTAAAATTCAAGGACCATTAATAACAGCTCTGCAACTACATGTTTGTTCCAGGAGGTACATCAGAACAAGCCTTGAGTTGTCCAGATCTATGCTAGGCTTTGACTATGTAGTACATGAGTTGATGTTAACTGACATCATGTATCCTCCTGACTGGAAGGTATGTTGATGTTAATCATGGAAAATTCAAATTGTTTGAAGCACCTGGCAGTTGTGCAAATATTGATGAAATAGACTGAATTCCCAAAATGAACATAATATACATTTATTCATATTAGATATTTTTGACATTATGCTTGATTACATGTGTAGTTTCTATAATTTTTGTAATGATATTTATTTGACAGAATATGTTTTTTGAATGAAAATGTTTTCCCAAAAATAAAATCTGTCAGTTGAGACATATAATATAATACTGGTCAGTCTGTGAACAAATAATAATGCAGTATTTTCAGTGTCATACTTCGTGTGTCTTACTGGAACTTTCCACATAATGATCAGAACATCGTACTACTTATAGGGTGAAAAATGCCAGGGGAAAAGCTACAACTAATTTCCCAGTTCTCTAATAATCATCCAGATTTAGTACTTTAAACCCCGCTCCCAGTGGAAGGCTCACTAATATGTCCTCTTTTTGTTATTCTAGGACTGGAAAGTGGATCATGAATCTCAGGGACCACTTCACCCCAATGAGAAATTAGGGGAGAATATAGTCCCAGATGAACAGGGAGTGTGGCAGGTGTAAGTTTTGTATATGAGGAAATTAAAGTCAAGTATTATTATTTATGAGTACTTTGCATATTCACACATATTTACCATTCTTATTTGGTTTGAGTTGATCTTATTTTGTCCTGTAAAATATTTGTAACCAGTAGATATATACAGGCTGCTATCTTCAGTTGCATTAAGGTAATTATTCACATATGAACTGCCAAAAGATGGCTCCATGGCCTAGCAATAGAAACATTGACTTTGTTTCAGCGTTAGCTTTCTTATCACATTTTTGAAAAGTAAGTTTTTGTTATCATGTTAGTTCATCATATGGTTGGTATTTTTAATGCATTTTTTATTACATAGATGAGATAAAGTTTTTCCGAAATTAGTTTTTGCCTCTGGTTGAATAATGACCTTAAATTCAACACATCCTATACATCTCATTCCATACATTGCTATTTTATTGCAGATTTAGTGATGCAACTCTTACAGTAAAAGCATCTTGGCTGACCCACAGAGTACCTACAGTAGGCTATGTTATAGAGGAGGCTACTACCACTGGAAAGTAAGGGGTTATCTCAAGCTTTTTGGCTAAATTCTACATGTAATCTATAGGTGTCATTCACCTACCCACCAACCCAACCTTGAAAACAAAACAGATATTTTTCAAGTGTGTAAATAGGTTTTCTTGATGAAAATGATTATGAACTTGATGACTTTTAGATATTGTTCAAGTGAATTCAGGCGAATCATATATTTGACATTGTTTTGAGAAAATGATAAAATGAAATGCATGGATTTGTATAAAATATAAATGAAAATTAATTTCTCAATTTAGACTTGATTGTGTGATTTTAAAAGCCAAGGGTGTACCTGCAGGGCCATTATTTGCAAAGATCAAGGCTGGTGAGAGTATAACTGCCCCTTCAGGAGAAATTGTATCCATAGACATTATCATAATAATAATACAGGTGCATTATTCTATAATAATACAGGTGCATTATTCCATTATAATAACAGGTGCATTATTCCATAATAATACAGGAGCATTATTCCATAGGAACTTATCGTAACAAATATTTTGAATTGCACCATTTATAAAACTATGAATCATTTTGCATACAGTAGAGAGGAAGATGTAAATATACATGATTTAATTTCCTTAATTACTCAAAAGATTCTTCCAAAAGATGTATTAGGTCCCGCCAAACTAGGAAGGAAGGTTGTCTTTCTGGGAGATACATCAAACTCTGAGAATATGATGTCAATATCCCAAAATGCATCAGTGGTTGTACACGAAGCAACCTTAGAGAATGAAATGCACGAAAATGCTCTGGAAAAAGGTCACTCGACACCAGGTATTTACTGTACTGCTTTAGTGTTTGTTGATGTCATTTATTCACAATACACATACTTGACTGCTTTCTAATGAAAATTCACCAAACAAACAAATCATAGGTTACAACTACCTACTGTATATGGGCTATGAGCTAATAAGCAGATAGAAATATAGCATACCATCAAGACTTCCACCCCTTTAACTTATTCTGATCTATTTCTGATTGAAAACTCCCTTATCAAGAATTCAAGATGACCACCCAAAGGTTGATCCAGTTTTGATAACATCTACCATCAGGATTTTTCAAAAATGCAGCCGATTTATTGGAATAGTTGCTATTTTACATTGTACTTTGTATTTACTTTTCAGCAATGGCAGCTGAATTCTCTAAAGGAGTTAATGCCAAACAGCTCATATTAACTCATTTTAGCCAAAGATACAGAACAGTAACTCAGGTAAGTGTGAATAACAAGTACATGTTTACTAGGGGTCCTTTGATACATTATGAAACAATACGATACATATCTTGATACTTACCTAATCACGCGTGCTAATGATACGAGCAACAATTTGATAATTTAGCAAGAAAAGACAATGATTATGTTATCATGTATGGTTTATTTCAAGGATGTCAAATTTGTAATGGTTCATTTTAATATTCATGAGTTGCCTTTGTGGAAAGGGGATTATATTGACTTCTTCAAAATCAGGCCTTTTTTAGAATGCCGTCTGAATTTAAAATGGCCACCATTTTTCATACAAAAATGTCAAAAGGAATGACTACTGCATGGTTATTTCCATGTGAAATGTTCAGAATAAGGAGTGTAGATGTTTTGTTCTGTAGAATTTGCTCTTCCATGGAGTTGCTATTTTCTACTTCATATTTGAGTTCGTTTTGTGTCATATCATATCATATTTGGATAATATTCCATAATTAGCATGATATTCATAGGATAACATGTGAAAATAAAAACGGTATTTTTGTAATCAGTGGTAAAATATGATATTTTTGACAAATTTTCACTTAACCATAGCATACGGTTTTTTAGCCGTGCAGATATCATATCCATTCGTGGATAAAAATCATATCACTCATAAATCATAGGATATCCTCTATATATTGCTAGGTATTACGATTGGCATATTGTAATTCCAGTTTTTATTCTTGTACATCTGCTTCCAACGTATGTAAGCAATACTAAAGATCAGTATTTGGTTATCCAAGTTTCAATTTTTGCACACCTGCTTCCTGGGTTTATGAGTTTTTCTCAGTTGTGAGAATAATAAAATAATTTAAAATATGTTGTTAATGCTGGTACTCATCTTCTTTTTTCATCATAGTCCTTGTAGAAAAATCTTATATCATATTTATGAAGTATATTATGATTGGTTGACATATGTGAACCCAAATGCCTTTGGCCAACCAGCAATCTGAACAGTTTGCTCAGTATTAGTAACTCCCTACAGCACATGAGGAAAAGACAAGAACAGCTTTCTAGAACCCAACAGGAGAAGCAAGTTCAATAATGAATTCATCAAAAAGTCAACAATTTCGGAAACATTTTTCTTTGGGTGCAGGGATACTTGGATGGTTCTTGGGAGGATTTGTGTTTGGATTTAATGTATATGCAACCTCCCTGAAAGAAACATTCAACTATACTCAAACTGAACTGGAGTTCATTGCATCAAGTGGTGATTGGGGAGAATGTTTGGAGTTTCCAGCAGGGATTATTTTTGACCATTTTGGTCCAAGGGTGACAAGTACCATCTCTCTTATTGTTACAACAATGGGGTTTTTACTAATGTGGATGGCTACTGTGTTTAGGATATTTTTCAGCTCAAAAAATTGGATCGTGTGTGTTTTTTATTTTCTGACAGGATTTGGACCCACATTTTTAGTCATACCATCGATGGTTGTGAATTGCAAAAACTTTGACAAAAAACATTTGGGTAAAGTACTTGGCCTCTTAAATGCCACATTTGGGCTTAGTCCTGCAGTTATAACTGTTCTTTATGAAGGATTATTTGTACAAGGACACTTTGAAGATGCAGAGAATCAAAAGCTAGGAGAGTTTATGATGATGCTTGCTGTATTATCAGCATGTATAAGTATATTTGGAGTTGTGATGCTTAAAACAGTTCCAGAAGAATCATATGATGAGATTGAACAATCAGGAGAGGCTGATAGGAAAAATGATAAATGTGACAATAACCCCATGGAAATACATAAAAACATAAATGATAGAACAGCCCTTGTTCCAGAGAAAACAACAAAGCAGATACCACAAGATATGAACTGCTGGCAAATTATAAAAACACCTCAGTTTTATTATGTCTTTTTGATTTGTTTGATCATTGGGGGTATTTGTATATCAATTGTGAATAATCTCACAATTACAGTAGAATGTGCACAGCTTGATGTAAATCCAATAAGATTCACTTTGATTATACCGATTTTTGCATCAATTGGGCGAATATTCGGTGGAGTGATATCAGATTACATATTTCAGAAATGGCCACTCATTCCTAAGTCATCAATTCTGTTATTTTGTTGCATACTTACATGTATCAGTCAAATAGTGTTCATATTTTTTAATGGAAGTTTGATTGGTTTGATATGTGCTTCTGTAATGGTAGCCCTGGCATATGGTGCTTTGTTTGTACATCTTCTTATCATTACCATTAACCTGTTTGGTTTAAAATACTGTGGACAAAACTGTGGTCTTATTTTTTTAAGTAATGGAATTGGATTAGTAATATTTCAAAAGCTTTTTGCTTTGAATTATGAAACGATTAGTCCACCTGGATCAAATAGCTGTTTTGGTAACTTGTGCACACAGTGGTTTTTTGTTCTGACGTCAAGTTTAAGTCCTTGTGCAGTTCTTCTAAATTTTTGTTTGATGAAAAATGAAAGAGATCAGCAACTCCAATATGAAGAATCACAGACCCCCAGCAATCAGGAATGAAACTAGTAGTTAACTACATGAACTACAGAATGTATATAAATGTACAGCAAATATTTCAATACTATTGAGGTGAATACCTGTTCATCTTTCAATAACGCAGATGCGAGTAGGTAGTTACCAGTTTCGCCACCAGGTGGCTCGTTCGGGTCAGATAACATGGCGGGTATAGTAGAAAGTTCCCTTTAACTTAAATTACATCGGTTTTAGTGGTTCAATTTTTATATAACCCTTATGTATCTAATAGTTATGCAAATTAAAATATGTCCAGTAAAAGGAAATGTTATCTGTCTAATACAAGAAAAGATATTTCACTTTTTGTGATTTTGTAACATGGGGTCTATGAGGAATCAACCCGAGCTAGAAGTCACATTTTCAAAAAAATTAAATTTTCAAAGTTGATAAACAATTTTCGAAACCATTTTTTCTAGATGTACTTTTACATGTAGATTTCAAATATGACATCACTTTGACTGAATTTTGAATATTTAATGACGTAAATCAAGATTATTTCTACTCGCATCTAGTCTATTGATTCTAGTAAGGTATATTACACATACATACATACATAAACATAGGGAATACACTTTATAGAATCATTGAAAGTGCAACAGGTATTCACATTTATTCAACAAAAATAGAATTGAGTATTTGATCTATAAATGTCATTTGAATGTTCTCACTTTACTTAAAAAGTATACAAAATAGGTGTATTTCTTTAAAACATTTAATAGATACATGTACTTGTATCTGATATTTTTTCAACAATATGTTTGTTTCATTGCAATATTTCTCATGTCATAGTACATAATCATGCGGCAAATCATACCCACTGTTTAACTTGTATCTGATATGAATAAAAAGTGTACAGTTCCCATCTTTCTCTGCTGTATTAAGATTTGAGTTACATTTATGTTGTTTATTGTAGAAAAGCTATAATATCTTGAATGCATTCATCTTCTCATATAAAGTGTTATGAGTCAACAGATGATTCTTTGTTTGAGAATCTCGAGCTGTATAAGGTGGCCATTTTGGATTTTCCATCCTAAAATCTTGTCTCTTCAACTGATTATAGTGTTGGGCATTCAGAATGAAAAATCAATTTAGGAAAACCCATAGTTGGGGACATGTTGTACACATTTGTGTCCTTCTTTTATTACATCTAGTCACAGATGTTTTTCACTTTTCCAGGAAACAAATGATGAAGAAACATGTAAATCAGTCAAAAAGCTTCAGGATCAAGCAAAAGATATATTTGGTGACAATGTGCTGCTAGCAGAAGACTTAGTTACTATACCGGTACATAGGACTACAAAACAGTGCAGTTGACCTAGGATTAACACATAGTCTACCTGGGATTTAGTGCAATGTTAAGTCCAAATTATCAAAATCAGAAATGTATTTCTCAGTCATGGACTAAAAGAAACCCTCTTCCCCAATGACATTGATTTAGTCAATGTTGACTCGACACAAGTATGTGTTCATCCAGAATATGCAACACGAACCATATTTGAAGTATACAAAGTAACAATGGAAAGTTGAAATGCTACTGATACAAGAGGACACAACGTAAACCTGGTAATGATCGACTGTAAAAATGCACATGGGTATTGCACTATTAGTCAATTTCTCATGGTTTGAGAGTGAACATTTTTTGTCCTTCCCAATTTACATTCATTAAAGGCAAATGATTGATGTTTGACAATCACTTATATTGATGGCCAAGATTAAATAACTAAATGGCAATTGAAACTCAAGTGTGCTTTACTTAAATTATTATATTGAAATAAAGGTATTCAAAAATTATGATATCTTGGCTTTTTTTATATAATATACATGTACATGTATTAGACTTATAGCTACACTTTATTAATGGTCATTTATATATGTGTCATTGTGTATACATTTTGTAAAGCTTCATCTCACAATACACTTTTCTGCTATCTGGGATCTTTGATTGATCTTCACATTCATCTCCTTTTCTATCTTCAGGCTCCTTGCTTTCCTCTCAATTCAACTTAGCAGATTACTACAGCTGAAGTACATCTTCAGATAGCACGCTAGTCTTCCAAAACACTTCTACAATGAATATCCCATCTTCATCATTGGTGAAAAGTGGTCGTCCAGTGAAATCTAGTGTAAAACATGACAGAGAAGACACACATGATGCTGTTCTGTGCTGACTGTCCTCTTGTGTGTGGTTCTTGTGTTCATCTCCAGACACCTCAAAGCTTTCAACCCTGGCTTCATTTCTAACCTACAGTAAGTATTAATAATATGTATACTTCTTACATAACTACATACTGATATATCACATACCTATCAACGTTCCATAAATCAAAAGTACTTTACTCATTTAATAGACAGAAAAACACTGTCCATGTCATTCCCCTAGATGCACTTTATAGTTGAAACCCCATGATTTTATCTACCTTGAACCTCGGCCAATAGGTATGGAATACATTTACTATGTATGTGATATGGAGTTCTTAATATGAACACTCTCAATGTCTCTGTCTTATCTTGCCTAAGTAGAGTCTGGTTAGTTGTAAGAGTACTCTTCTTATAACCCACAAGTTGCTTTTGAAAGTATTCATGCTGAATGTCATTAAGCTGTGGATATAATTATGTTTCACCTCTTGTACAGTGTGTAGTCATTTAAAGATGGCTCTGAATATGTATATTATTTCAACCAATAAATTGTTTATAGATGTCACCTTGGACACTCAGTAGTTAATGGCATCAACTAACAGCTAAAGTTTCTTGTCCTTCACTATTAAGGGTCGCTATAAGAGTGACTCACTCCTGAGATTCATCAACGGGATTTGAACTCAAAGGAATGTTGGTATTGAAAACTGCTAGTCTTGTCTCTTATATATCTGGTAGTGTTCCGACCAAAAATGAAATGCACCCAAAACTTGATCTGCTGTCTGTCCTTATTTAGGTTACACCATAAGATGCAATATCTTTTCTTTATCCTACTTTCTTTATCAAAGTTACATCATAAGTAAGGTAAAAAAATTATTTGCAGATTTAAGCGGATGAAAGGTACAAGTTCATGTATAAGCTAGGGGATCAGTTGTAATAAACAATATATAAAATGTCTAACATTTTTAAAGGGAGTATTTTGTACTTGTAATCCTTTACACGAAGTATACTGTCTAATTTTCACTTGGTGACTGTAAAATGCTTTTCATTACTGTCACATTAGAATCAATCATTCAATATTATTTTAAATGTTTTTAAATCTTTTATTTGAATGCATTTCAAACCTGGCATTGATGTATGTTTTCATCACAATAAAAGAAAATATTATTATTCGTTGTAATCTTTTTGAAATTTAACGATGATTCAAGTGCTCTTCAAAATAAATTTAAAATGAACTTATATTATTCTTAATTAGGATTTCTCCAGGTACGATTTTATTTCCAAAAACAAATTCTGAAATAAGGATTGTTGAAAAAACAGCAAAAAGTCTCATATTATGTGACTAAAATTTTGCTCACATATCAAATACAAGGAATATGATTCATAACTCATGAGAATTTTTTGAGGGAGATATAAGGCATGGGTGATTTTTCCTCAAATTTGGTTCACATGGACATGGATTTCAGGCACATATCTTTTATATTTCCGAATTTATTGACATTCGAATTCTACATTGCCACAAATCCTGGAGTAGTCATTCCTCAATGTTTGTTTATTAAGTGCACTTAATTTGAAGAAAAATTATTCATGCCTTATATCTCCCTCAAAAATTCCCATGAGTTCTTGGACACCCTGTAGGAGTCCCTGTTTTTCAGAACAAGATTTGGTCAAAATGTATGTCTGACTTGATTTTTGTAACAAATTAATGTTGGATGTAATCGTTAAAAGCATTGCATCTGATCAAATATGGAAGACTTGAAATGTTTGCCAGGTAATCAATTAGGTTTTCTGAAATAAAGTCAGGACTGCTTTTAAAGACATGATATTTTTATATCATGTCTGATGATATAACTTTATTCTCAACAAATCTGAAGTCTTTGTTGCACCTTTGATAATTAGTGGGATGATTAGTAATTTGATAATTAGTGATAATGAAGTGGGATTTAAATATACATGCTTTGTTATGTGGATGACTCTGTTTAATTTAAAGAGTTGATAAAAGATATACAAAATACAAAATATATTATTATTGATATGATATAAAATTGAGATTAATTATTTTAGCAACCATTAATCACTTACTTAATTACTAATTCAAAGGTCAGATTTCAAAATGCAGAATTGTTAGAAGATGTGGGAAAAATATAATAGTCAATGCCTGCATATTTTGAGTTTTAACATCATAAATGTTCCTTTTAACATCATTATTGACTACTGTTTCCTGCTTTCACACTTGACCTGGGCTAGTGATGGAAATATTATTACCATGGTGACGTATTTCTCCGATTTTGTTTTTCTTAATTGCATAGACCATGATTGCTGTTTTTGTTTTTATCTTTTCTTTTGCCAATATTTTATACTTGACCAAGTTTAAGTAAATATATACTATGAGGTTGATTGATAGTTTCCAACTTTTATTATGGCTACATGCATATTGTTTAATGAATATACCTTTACTCACTCAGTCGAAAAAAGTCATTATCCTTAAAATGGTCATGTTTTTAGATATACATATTAAAGTTAGTAAATTGACAAATTATGATTAAAGATATGATGTCTGTTCATAAATTGAGGCAGGAAATTGAGTCAACTAGTTTGGCATTCATTCAGGTAGGCCAATGAAGTAGGTCTGTATGAGTACTTGTAGAGGCTGTAACTATTCCACAGGGTCAGGTTTCGAAATGCAAAAATTTAGATAAGGTTAGAAAACTCATTGAATATAAAATCTACAGGAATATGTTTGGAGTCTTAACTTCCAAAGGAGGTACAAAAATTAAACATTTCTTTCAAATATGATATTCTTCAGATAAATTGAATGAATTTAATAAGACCAGAACTACACAAAAGACTTACACATTTGAAGTCTTAACACTCTTTAAAGTCAATTCAAATAAATTGCAAGAACAGATAAATTGAGAATAAATATATTAAACATACTAATCCTCTCTGGGCTGTCAATTTTGTGAAATAGTATACTCGACACACATGAATTTTTTTTTATTTATTGGTCTTAGTGTCACCCGATATGACCCAAGATATTGTTATGGGTCTGCTTTATTAGAACCCTGGACCAGGATATATACTATATACTACATGCATATGTATGTACAGTGAAACCTGTATATCTAAACACCTTCCTAATCCAGACATCTCTCAATGTGAACAGTTTTTCTTGGTCCCAATTTTATCTCATTAACTTAGACATATTAATAAAACCATGAAATGTGAACACCTGCTAATCTGAACACTTTTGGCTGGTTCCAGATGTGTTCGTATTACACAGGTTTTACTGTATTTGAATAAATAAACAAGGAAGTAAATAAACAACTGAATTGAGAATCATGATAAGTTATGTTCAACTTATTCAATAATTATTTTGATAAACTATGTAGGTGCTACATCCAATAATTATTTTCTCAGAATGTATGTTTATTTTCTGGAAACTTCCTCACATGAAATGTTGGATCAAAAGTATATTATTGTAATGATAATTTTTAGTATTTTTCCTTGTTCCCAACTCCACATAATGATAAAATAATTTAGTATTTGGACGGTCAATAAATGGATAATTATGACATGTTTATTGAATACATTACATAACATACATTGGGGTTGTCGAATTGGCCGAGAGGGCTTGAGCGCCGGCACGTTCGAGCTAGGCGATTGGGCGCCGTAACCATGAGGTTGGGAGTTCGAAACGTTTTAGACCCAAAAATCCATAGTTTTGCATATAGCGTGTTGTTGCATTTATGATGTGCAAATAGAACACTATCATCAACAAATGCTTTTTTGTGCAAAGAGCAAGTCCCAACCAGCAAGCAGCAATTTTAGCAAAAATATGAGTAAAATATACTTGTATGCTAATAATACTAATAAATAGCACAATATATAGGCCACAATTGGTGCTACATAAATGCATGTTGTTTAAATGCTATAGTGGAGAGGTTAAGCTAACGATGTTTTTCACAACGTAACCGTGAACGCAAAGTACAAAAATTAACAAAGGAATGTATCGAGCGCTCATAGTTTATGCGCGCTTAGTCTACTTCAGATACTCTTTCAGCTTCAGAGTTTCGGGTTTAGAACGGGAGATTTGAAATTTGACGTTGGGTCAACGGGAACCATTTTACTCGTGTCTATTGAACACTATGCTGTCAATTTTGATTTCGATGCACAGTTGAATTCTTGCTGAACACGATGATGTATGTCATGCATGATTTAGCGCCAAAAATCTTACGAAACGAGCTCGTTTAAAAT